TTCCCATCCTCTCCCAATATTTCCACGATATGCGCGTATCGCTATTATAGGGCTAAAATAAAAACTTGTTGTATTGCCCTTTGGGTGCCAAAACATGGGTCGGTCGGCCGGTTTTTTTTTTTAAACTTTTTTTTGTAGCCCTCTTTGGCCGATATTTTTCAGATTTGAATGTTTTTTTGTTTTATCTTTTTCCCGCCCTCTTGGCTGATATGTCTCAGTTGTTAATGCTTTAAGACATGTGTTTCAACGTCATCATTCCATTGATATCTTTTTTCACCTAATAATCATCCGTGGTTTGCACGAGTAAGAATTTTGGAATAATTTAATTTTATGCATTTATATCCCATTTAAACAAACAAAATACATATTTTTTTATTCATTAATAACAAAAAATCTGATAAACGGTTAACAAAAAAAAAACTTTTTTAAAATGCCGACCGTAGATTTTCAGATTTTTGGGTCGGTCGCAAAGGGCAATACAACAAAATTTTATGTTAGGCCTTATAAAAAAACCTTATTAATACAGGGGCATGCGGAGTGAATAGGATTTTAATTCCTGTTAACTTTCCTTTTCTTTGAATGGAATATAAATGATTCAATTCAGGTTTTTATAATTTGTATGTTCTTTTTGGTTAAAAAATAAAAACCACCGTTACTCCTTTACTTTTTTTATTTTTAGGACGGGGGGGGGGGGGGCTTCTGGGGGCGAAATTGCGTTTTGCCCCTCCCCCCCCCCCCCACTTCCGGCGCCTATGTTCATGTATACACGTAAACCATTATGTAGTTATAATCCATTTGTTTTAAGAAATCAACTCTCCTTAATTCACCATGGATGCCTAAATGCAGGGACACAAACAAAACAAAAAACGCGCAAAGGGTAGGCCTTCTATAGCTGACATAGGCCAATCATTTTTACAAACGCACACAAGCCTTTACTAATCACAACAAGTTACCCTACAATATTTTAGATTTACATAAAATAATGAGGCATGTAACAAACATGAAGGTGCAACAGTTTCTTAACATCTGCTTAAATTGGACCGCTGGGGTTGCCGCGATCCCAAGTCACGGGCCTCTGGATCTATAGCAAGTTAGTATTATTTGCTAACAAAACTGACAAATTCGATAAAAAATGGATAAATTTTGAGAGGATTTTGATCCTTTAATAGGAGTATATTGAATTTCCCACATCATTTTCAGTCATGACGTTGCATTATTATTTAATTTTTGTTTTTCTTTCCCTAATCTACATGACTTATGGTTGATTCGTTATATATCTTATTATGAAATATTATATGATATTCATTGGAACATGTGTTCAAATATGTTATCTTGAGATTGATTTTCAATAAATGGCCTGTTGGAGGGTCCAAAAAATGGGGGAAAAAAATAACTATAGCCCCTATAATAATGCAGTACTTATTTAGGTATGCATATACATCTACTATTTGGGAATTAGGCTGGCCGAAAAATGGGATATATAGGCCTATCGTAATAGTCCACAGCAACGCTAGGCAAATTATATAAGAGAATGGTTTTTAGTGTGGAAGTCAATGGTCACAGAGGAAATGCAAAATCCGGATACAATTCCTAGAATTGTATAGAAATACTGAATGGGGCCGGCAAACGTATGATATGCATTAACACGTTAGTAGAGTGGAGTATCAAAGAGTGGGGCCGGCGTATTCCTTTGGAAAGCGGTAATATAGTTGGAGTGAAAATCTATATTTTAGGGGTCCCCCCTCCCCAGCTCTCCACGCCCCCGCTCAATTACGGGGTCTGGGAAAGGAATACTGTGCTACCCCTTGTTTATCAATATCTGAATAAATCCCTACATGACGGTATGTATAGGATGAGTCAGAAATATGGGACAACTACCCCACCCCAATATCACCGCCCAATATAATTGCCCATATTATGAATTCAGACAACTTTCCCAATATGTATCAACTTTAACTTCAACTTCTGATTAATCAACAACAAATATTATCCCTATAAACGAGACCTAAATATGAATAACTATTCATGGCAGTATGAAATGATAATATGAATACAAATGCAGTATATTATGACATGTGAGTATAAATGCAAAAGAGACTTTTCATTTCATTTTAGAAGAGATATCTATGATTATAAGAAATTAAATGTAATTGTCCTATAATAACTTTTTTGATTATTTCCTACAAATGAATATGAAAGGATATTATGAAAATCATACATTTTACATTTCATTCAACAGACGAATAGAGTACCGTTACGAAAAAAAGGGATATAGGCGGATCCAGACTGTCAAAAAGGGAGAGAGACAAATATGTTTGAAGAATTACGATCCCGAAGAAAACACGTAGACTACATACAAACTTGAATTGTTCTCTTATTTTGCCCCCTCCTGGGACCGGGAAGCTATGTCAAAAAAAAAAAAAAAATTTGCTCATTCGGACAAACGGATTCTCTCTGACCCCCTCCCCATCTCTCTCTCTCTCTCTCTCTCTCTCTCTCTCTCTCTCTCTCTCTCATTCACTTCTAGCAGGAGTCACCTCCCTGCTCCAAGTCAATCCCACCATGATTTCTTTTACCCCTATCCTTCTCTTATGAGGCAGTTCTTCCCTATCCTACTTCTCCTGTTACCCCCCCCCCCCCGCACTAATCAGAAATAGACGCGGATGTCATAACTCGATATGCAAATTAGTACAAATGATTACAAAAATACACCTTACACGTGTTTCCCCAATCACGTGTTGCATGACGCCAGGTCAAACTCATGTTTATTCATATGTACATTCATCCGACACGCCCCACCTCTTCTCTACTATAGAGCGCAATGCAGATAATGGTGACGGCATTGCTCGTGTCAAAAGCGCGCGGCCTGTCAGAATGATTGACAGGAAGCAAATTTGATTTTAGACTTTTCCCAAGTCGTTTTTTCTATAATCTTCGAACTATGCTTTGAAAAATTAGTTTAATTGGGGAAGGGGGAGGAGGGGATAATAGGGGGCTACATCTTCCCTACAAAGCCAAAGGAAAACAAAAACTATAGTGTTAACACACAAGATTTCCAATATTGGCAGATCCAGCTGGGGAAAACTTGATAAACATAATGCACCTTGTGGCTTTATTGTTCCCTATGAAAGGCACTTATTTATTAGGCTCATCTGTTTTGCTCCTTTGTTTTATTTTATTGTGTTAAATTGTATTTTGTTTGTTTATTCATTTGATGATAACGGTAGTAATTTCTACTTTCATATAGTGATTTACGTCTACTTAGCACTTTACAGTATACCTCAGTCATTGAGTTCACTTGCTTTTCTACACATGATATGGCACACGTTCCGTTCTCTGGGGAGTATTCCAACCAAGCATCATTTTACAAGCCCGCTCCCGGGTTAGAGAGAGAAGCCATGCCTTGCCTGAGGACAGTAAGTGTCGGCCAGGGATTGAACCCACAATCTTCACATCTCTGACCCATTCAAGTGTTTAAACCATTTTACTAACTTTACTGACTTGACTATACGACACCAATTTGTTTGTTTGTTTGCCATTGTTATTTTTATTTCTAAATGTTTGTTTTTATTTTTATTTTTATTATTATCATTATCAATATCCTGTGACCTTTCCTTCCACGGCAATTTTGGGGTATCTTGTAGGTTTCATTCTTAGGACGTGGCCGAAATATTTGAGTCTTTCAGTAGTGGAGACTTTGTCCATAGCATCTTGATCGAGGTTGAGGGATTCTTGATGTGTGTGTTACGGATCTTATCTAGTCTTGTCAGTTGTCACCCCCATTATGCGACGAAGGAAATCGACCCAGAGGCCGTCCACCCAAAAGATGGCTTGACTGCATCTCAGAGGACTGCAAAGCAAGATCCATACCAAGGCTGACAGATGCATCAAGACTGGCTGCGGACAGAAAAACTTGGCATACCATCACCATACAGAAGCCATCACGAGGCCCCTGGCCTGCGTGGACGGCATAAGTCAAGCCAGTCATTATCAATATTATCATTATCATTATCATTTGGGTTACTATTAGTATTAGTATTATTGTTGTTATTGCCTATAATTGTTATTATTATCATATTTATTATCATTATTATTATGAATATTATTATTTCTATTATAATTGTCTACTGGTTTAATGTAGTATGCCTACTCAGGAAGAAAAAGAGGAGGAGGTCGGGACTCTTGATGACGGACTTTATTAATCTCTTTACTTAGAAGACTTTGACTTCGTTATATACTGCCAACAAAATATTAATAATATGAAATAATTAGTCCGTTCAGATGTACGATTTCATGCAAATACTACTATTTACGATGATGTATAATCAAACGACTGGGAAAAAGACAAAGAGTTCGGGTATATGCAAATGAACAACGTGTTCGTCTAAACTCCAGAAAAAAATAAGCCCCCATGTGATTCTGTTTGCTAGTAAATATATTGGCTGTTCTGTCTATAAAAGATACTATATTTGTTCTGCAACTCAGTTCGTAATAGATCAATTTGCTTTCTTGATGAATCTTACTTTCAAATAAAAATTATTGAAAATGTATGATAATAACTCATTAGTATTTTTAACTAGATAAACTTAATAAAAACTTTGATATTAAATAAATAAAATGAAATAGGTTTTTTCCTACCTATTGTACAGAGGGGTGAGTAGAGTAATCTCAATCAGCTATGGAAAGCCGTAATGCACCACGTGATTATGCATGTGGCATAAACAAGCTGACATTTCTATCTTGATTGGTCAATTCTATTTCATATGTAAATTAGATAGAAAAGTCCATTATTTGTAGGGTGTGTATGAGATTAAATAGGTTTCTATTTCGTATTTTGATATAAATTATTATACTATACTAATAAATCAAGGAGAAAATATTTTTATAAATGTAATATTTGTGAAATTATGTATCACAAAGGTGCTTTAAAGTAACCTAAAAATGATCTGTATATGTCTCTACCCCTCATATATAATATGTAAATTAGTAATACGCCCGTCCTGAGTTTATGTTATTATAATCGTAGTGGGAAGATATGACGTACGTGAAAGATTCTCTCCTCGAATATGGTGTTATATCCCAGGAAAACAACGAGTTGTGATCTTTAAAAGGATATTACAGTTGCTTTGCTTTATTCTGTGTTGTGCTTTTCATATGTACATGAAAAATCATGAACATCGAAACCCTCTTAGAGGCTGCTAAATATGTGGAATCGGGTGGAGCACTGGCAATCGCTACCGCAGCAGAGCATTCATTTACACGTGGTAAGTATGCACATGTAGTTGGCCTTTGCAATGCGCTACGGGAATATGAATAGATGACGTACCTGTCTATGTATTGTTGTTTGTGTATAGAACACTACTCTGTGTGCGGTGTCGTTGTGTATTATTATGTGTGTATGTGTGTGCAGAAATGACTACACGCCTCGGCTTCAGTAAAGAAATTTCCTGAACATCCTGTATGATGGACCTCTTTTCCCCACATTTTTCGTGTTGTACATTATACCATCATATGAGGCATATGGAAATTTAGTATCAAGGCTTATACTTTCACAAGTTTGGCTGTATGTTATCTGTATATCATATGATTTTTTGTGAAAACAAGATGAAGAAGTGACAGATTTCCGTAATGATCGCCGCCTTACGCCCCGGCTTGACGGCGGCGGGGTTATGTTTGTCAGTGTTGTAACATCATGCATATTCAAATTAGCCGGCTAGCCGCCCCCGGGTCAACAAAATAGTGTCAGAGAACGTCGGTCTTATTCATTGTATCGTGCCGTGTGTATGGCTGGTATTGAGTGGTATGCACTGGCCGTAATATGCTTTTGTTGGGAATGAATGGGTAATCTTTGGTCAGTTTGGAAATTTGGATGAGTTCCAACTGCTGGATTTTCTCCTGTAACATCCTTGTGTTTGAGTGGGTTCTTATTTTGTGTAGGCCTAGAAAATATTATTGATCTTCTCCAGCTCCAGTGACCAGTGTAGATCTAGAATCTTCATTTGTGGAAGTCGTTATTTTTCAATGTGATCAATTTGCATATGATTTAGGGTTCAAATCAGATTCTGAAACATTTCTTCTAGAAGTGTAACACAGTAACAGACTAACGGAACAACGTCTGGTAATGTACATTGTAGTCTGTACATACATGTATGATATAGACCCAAGTCTTGAGAAATATCCATTAAAGGTGAAATTCAAAGAAAATCACAAATATGTCAACTAATGTGTGACTTGAAACTGGTTAGCTAACAGATGGCCATCGTACAAGCTTTAGGTCAACTACATATTGGGTGGTTTATAAAAAATACAAATACAACTACCTGCATTGCAGCTGGGATATACGAGAGATTCGCCGGAAAAATAACGATGTTTTAATGACGTCACTATATGGACCAATACTGCCTAAGCAGACGACATCCCATAAAGAATGAGCATAATTGCAAAGCTTTTATTTGTAAAATTATGAGTTTAGTGTATATAAATGTGATGGCATGTCTAACCATTCAAAAGGGGATAATGACCTGATTCCGATAACTAAAATCTTTTGCTTGTAAATACACAGGATAGGGGTTAAGTAACAATCAAAGAAACCAGACTTTCGAATTGAAACCCCCTGAATGATATTAAGGATGGCATTTGTTCCCTCTTGAAACGCCGAACAGGAATCTGTCGCTTGTAAACAAAATAAGACGCCGGTATTACCGGCGTCTCATTTTGTTTACAAGCGACAGATTCCTTTATTTTTGTATCGCTGCATTTGTCATCAAAATAAAACCATGTGTGGGGCTTAGAGAGAGGCAAAAGATTATACATTTAGCCTGACGGTAGTGAAGTAAGAGAAAGAACCCAAGAGAAGATGAAAACACAGGCACTGGAAATCTGTGAGATGTCATGGGACATCGTCAGTCATCGTCGTCATGTCCATACTGTGATCTCACACATCTCAGCAGCGTTCAGAGAGCTCTTCAGGTGCTATGCCGGGCTGTATTTAAGCGTTTTATAATTTATAATAATCATTACTTCGAATGTTTCCAAGCATTGAATTTTGATAACCTTGTCGAATCAAAGTTTCAACTTTGCAATAATGAAATGAAGTTAGTTTTTAAAATCAATGAATATCTACTTTAAAAAAAAACCTTCTGCAATTCTGCCAATATCTTGACTAGGGTCTTCGCATTTACATGTACAACTTTCATCAATAAATCAGAGAGTGACAGAAGAATTTATTAGGAGATTTATCAAGAGTAGAAAATTCAAATAAGTTAAAATCTGCTGTTTTGAAAAGTATTAATAACCTATTTGCTAATGCTAGGTAATCACATACACATGCTCTGCAGGTAGTGACCTCCCATTTAAATGTACAATCCAATCAAACAAATTACCATTGTGCCACCCAGTTGTAAAATTCATTTAGGATTTCTCAAGTCAATTGTAGATTCAAAGTTTTCCTTTCCAAAGAAAAAGTATTTGAAAAAGAAAAGTAAATTAGATAAATGGTCCAGTTGAGCCTAGATCTACCCCCCCCCCCATTAAAAAAAAAAAAAACCAGCAGAATAAGTTGTGGCTGACATTGAATTCAATTTAAGAATTTAAATTTCTTGTTGTTAAAGTACTATACCTTTAAAAAATGTTGCACACTTAACAAAAAAGACACTGAATCTTACAGATAATCATATTTCACGAAATATTTGTTTTATTTTTCGTTTGGAAAGTCTTGAGCACATACATTGCTTTGGTAGTGAGTTCACATTCATGAAACATTTTTGGAATAAAGTGGGGATGAATACTGTAAATTATAAAGTACTGTTAATTATAAATTAATTTGTGGAAATAAATGTAACATTAAACAAAGGTCATTATTAATTTACCTCATAACTGCTTTGTAGAACTTAACTGAAACTTATAAGAACACGAAGAGTCATATTATAACTGCGATATGATTGAATACATACAGTAATATTCTACAGCACATTGCACGACCTTGTGATTTTTTTCCTGCCTTTGCTGCAAAATTGTTGGATATTATTATCCTAATTTCAAATTTTCAGTTTTTGTGTAGGTGGCAGCACTAATAAGGCATTTCCTTTGTAGCTGTCTCCTCATTCTCATAAAAACTCACTTTTCCCGATATTTTGTCCAGATTACCTTTATTGTACGATTGTCTTTTGTAATGTATATTTATTTTGACTATATATCTTTGTGATTTTATATGTTATTGTATCTAAATGTTTTTTATTATGAATGAAATAAATTTGATTATCTATCTATTTATCTATCTATTATTAACTTTCACATTTTGTTTTACTATTAAAAATGGAGATGAGATGGGCAATGTCGTGCATATTGATATTGATCTAGAGGCATTTACGTGGGCGCCTTAATTTATGCAGATAGCCTTGGTAGCCTTTGTGGTGTGTGTTTCTTGTGCACGTGGACACTGACTTGTGGGTCGATGCCGAGGCAAGGGGAATATTTGCTCATATTGACGCAAGTTGTGATAAAAAGTATTCATATAAATATGGTTCATGTAAGCCAGGATTTGAGCATATATCCCAGTGATAAAGGGAAAGTTAAGTATTGGAATTAATTGTTTTTTGTGTGTTTGATCGAACTTGGTTTCTAAATGTTAATTGCTTGTTTTTACATGAAATAATTATACTTTGGAATCACAATTTCTTTTTTTTATAAATCTTTTAAAGAAGTTTTGCTGTTGTCATGTGAATATTTTCAGGATAATGTGTGTGTGTGTGTGTGTGTGTGTGTGTGTGTGTGTATTCTGGTTTTTACAGACGTGTATCAATCAGATATGATTATTTTAGTCTGGGAACCGACCCTTAACGATACAAAGATGTTGAGTGTAGACCTGTTTTAATTTAAATGATTTCTGAAGATGCTGTACAATTAAAAATGTTGTTAAATTATGAATAATAATAATTTAAAAAAAGAATCAGAGGGCCTTTATTTATTATTAATCAATATGATTTGATTGTTGTGTCTTGTTCATTCAATGTTTTCAGTGTACAGGGAACCACCAACAAAATATTACCATGCTCAATTTTACAGATTTATCACAATTGCTTTTGAAATTTTAACAAGATGATAACTCAATGTCATCGCTGATCTGTGATTCAAACGGAAGTATACCATTAACCCCCAAAATACGCCAAAAGGGAAGTGGGATATGACAGACAAGAAACACTGTCTTCTTTAATAGCAAATCTGTTTTTTTAGAAAGTCAAATAATTTCAATTTGTGCACAAAAAAAATATATATGTCAGACCTTTTAGTCATGTTAACCATAACCATCCAGTTTTATCTAAGATGTTACACAGCCATGATTCCATAAGGATGTTCTTTGTGTATATTTATTTACTTTTTTTCCTTTAATTTTCATTTATAGGGAAAGATGAGGTTGATAATGGAGATCCAAAGGGTGCCAGTTCTTACACACCATCTATTCTCGAGAAGCAATTGACCGGCTCGCCACCACCCCCTAAACGTGCTCGGACCAAGTCTCCAGGTCCAAGATACAGTGAGACACAGCATCTTCTACCACCGGCGTCACAACATGTGATACCACCACCAACCTCCCAAGCACCCATAACCATAGCTACTAGCATCCCGGTATCCTCCTCCTCTTCCATCATCCAGCATGCTCCACGTTATCCTGCCACAACCCCTCCAGTGTCCTACCACCTCTATACTCACATACCCCCGCAACACCTGCAGCAACACCATCCTGTTCACCAGCAGCAACAGCAACAGCAACACCATCCTCGTCCATCGCAGCAGCACCCGCAACTTTTGCCACAACATGTCCAACAGCATCATTTCCAAGCGCTGACTCACCACCAGCAAGCTGAGAACCAACAACCACAACGCTATGTTGCGGCCTCCGTGGCTAACGCCGTGCTCTCAACGCAGCCTCCTGCCCCTCCACCGACACATCCCCCACCAGTGCCACCTCATCCACTTCTATCACCACCACCGGCATCATCTGCAGGAACCTCCCCACGTGTGGTGGGGCCTAGTCAGGCTATGGACCTTCTCCAGCTGGCTGAATCCCAAGGACACAAGTACACAACACTTAACAACGTCACTAGCCCCAGGGCGAGGAGTAGCCCTGGAAGTCATCATGATAACATTAGCCCTAGACTAGTCCATCAAATCGTCAGTCATAACCAGTGGGTTGCTGGGGAGAGACCAGGTTCACCAAAGCAGTCACCGGGTCATCCAAAGGCATCTGGGGAAAGTGACTCAAACGATTCTGCAAATGATGGCAGTGGCAAAGATAAAAGGTTTGTAACGTTTTCGATTACTTCTCTGTTTTTTCACACACCATTTCATTTCATTCGTACCAAAATTAACAGGGTTGTTCTCAGATTTATGTTAAGTTACAGATGTACAGTAGCTCATTCTTGGGAAATATGTACCATTGTTTAAGCTGGCTCTTTTCTTCATTTTTTGTGTGTTAATGAAAAGTGGCAATGTTTTTTGTGTTAATTGAGAAGGTTTCTACACTGGAGAAAGTTCAGATACATGTACAATGATCTGATCATATCATACATGTACTTTGCAATTCCTGTAAGAAAACCCAAATTAGTACATTTCCTGTCAGTTAATATGTACACTGTAGGTTTATATACAATGCATATACATCTATTTCAAATATGACCCCCCCCAAAAAAAAAAAAAATAAAAAAAAAAAAAAAAAAATATATATATAATACAAACAAAATGAGAAAAGCTACATGTATGCGAACAGAAACAAACTGGACTTGGTGCATGAATCGGGCTTGGCCTAGCCTAATGGTGCAATTCCCGGTAGTATGCAGGTTTGTGGTTGCAGTGAATAATCAGAGGAAGTCACATTTCCTGTCAAGATCTATTCTCTCTGATGATGGAACTTCTGTTCGTTAGCTGCATGCACCTACACAATGTACCTATTAATAATCCTTGTCTCACCGAAGTCACCCAAGACCCTAGGTGCTTCGTCCGCTAATGTCGCAATATGTCAACGTTGGGACACAAGACGTGCGGTGCAGGACAGGAGGATGCTGAATGAATCCTATTCAGTGATTCGTTCACATCCTGTCTGTCATGATTACGGAAGGTAGCTTCTAGTAGCTTCTCATTGTAGAGTGGACATTGACCTTGCACAAATGTTAGCCATACAGTATGGCATATCCGTCCTCTACGTTTTAAGATTTACACAGGATTCACGACAGTCGACACTTCTCGATAATCAAGGGCATGCTATTAAGTTGTTTGTATAAAGTTCATTTTGTAATTCAAGGATATAATGCAATTCAAACTAAGGAACTTAGACATCAAACGGAGGGAGAGTTTTTTTTATATGTAGTGCATATGTAAAGTATGGTCAATTATGTTGCATAATGTTACATATTCTGTGACTTTGAAATTTATTCCCCCCCCCCATTGTTTACTTTACTATCATGGATGATTGAGCAACAGATTTTTCAAAATTGTTTATGGTACACTGATAAAAATGAATATGAGTCATATCAAAGCTATGTGCATGTTTCGTCAGTCTGATTTTTTTTACAGCTGTCAATTACCAGATTTATGGTTAATAAATACATTTTATGAAGTAACTCAGTTTAACTGAGCTTTCACAGGGCCATGGTTGATTTTGTTGGCTAATCTTAATATATTTCTAGCCACCAACGAACTCTTGTCTCATATTATTTTACCACAAAAACTCCCTTTTTGAGTTGTCAGTTGCACCATCTTGCTTACTCATGGTATTCATCTTGCGAAGCATGTGAACTTGATCCTGTAGTCAAACATTTAAATGTCCGGTACTCGACAGTCCATGGCACTATCCGTTTTCAATTGGACGGTTTTATTTTCCTGTTTTTTATAAATATTTTTTAAAAATAATTTTATTTTTCATAATAATTTTTTGTTTTATAGGAAAATCACAAGAAATCACATTATCAACAAATGTACATAAATTAGAAACAAAATCACTGAACAAAAACAAGTTTGGTCGACATTATAGTCATCATAGGTCAGCCCTGACTGAATTGCAGAGCAACGATCTACACTGTACATGTATTCTACATGATAACAATCAATTGCAAGATTGTAGATTGAGAAGTTGAGAAGTCTCTGTTTTTTTTTGTTCAGTGATTTTGTTTCTAATTATGTACATTATTTGTTGATAATGTGATTTCTTTTGATTTTCCAGTTAAAACACAAATTAAAAAATAAAAAATAAAATAAAATAAAATAAAATAAAATAAAATAGGTCTATTACCTATTTGCTAATGCTAGTCAATCATTTTTTTTTTTAAATTGTTTAACCGAAAACCGTCCAGTTTTGACTGGCAGTTAAACGGAATTGGAGATATCCGTGATGTCACTACACAGAAAGATAAACTTGATTAATGCACAAAATCATCAAGGGTAGACGTTTATGAAGAGGGTACATGTAGATTTACAAATAATTTTGACCATTGTGAATGACCCTGTGAAGAAAGATTTTCTGTCAATATGGGTTGCAGAGGAATCAAAAGTTGTTTCTTGAGATGAGACAGTTTTGTACATTTTGCTTCTATATTAAATATTTTCTTGAGATGGAATTGGCACTTTTGGTACTCAAATGGGCTAAAACAACTTTGCCATTTCATACTGAAATAAATCATGTATCTATGATTTTTGACACACAATTGTAATATTGTAATATTACAATTCCTCATATCCGATTCATATTATTTAATGAAGTGTACACATGTACGCTCACTTTGATCAAAACTACTTTTCTTATAAAAAAGGTAGACCTGTGAACAATTTTGAAAGAAAATGAACAACCATGATATACATCTATCCAGACAAAATAATGTTATGAAAATTAGACAGCTTGGAGGATTTATGAAAGCATACCATTAAATGTTTTATCAAGCCTACTTGTACCACAAGTACATTCATTTATGTCCTCTTTTAAAAAAACACATCATAATTATAAGAGTGAGTTTACCACTCAAAATTACATTAATTGAAGAATTTTTTTTTTTTTTTTACTGTCGGTCAAATGTCAGGAACAATTAGGTCAATCTCTTTCCATCTGACAAGAATACTAATCTTGGTTAGATTTGCTGTAGGCTTTATATAAATGAATTATGCAGCCCCCGAGATTTGCCTGTAAGACATTGTATGCCTCAAAGAATTATCCATGGATTTACTATGTAATTTAATAATTTGAATTTACATCTGAGACTCTCTCCATATTGTTATTTAATGGTAATTGCCAGTTATGACACCGTCTGAAAATTTTAGTTGCTTTTGTAAGCAACCAATTTTGACAGACTTTGATTTTTTATTGACCCATATAAAGATTTTGTTTCTGATTTTGTATTTGTTGATGTCAAAACTAAAAACTTTTGCTGATTGTTGCATAAATATCTCAAATATATTCTTTCTCTTTAACTTCACTCTCCTTTTCTCTCTTACAATCTCATTTTGTCTTTATATCTTTCTCTTTTTGTTGATTATTGCATAAATATTTCAAATATCTTCTTTCTCTTTATTAAATTAAACTTCACTCTTCTTTCTCTTTAACTTGATTCTTCTTTTCTCTCTCACAATATCACTTTGTCTTTCTATCTTTCTCTTCTTATACCCTCTCTGCTGTTTAGGCATGTCAACTTTAAAACTTAAATAAGTTTGCATTACTATTTTTTTCCCTCTTATATCTCTTCAGGGCTGGAATCAGAGAAGTACATAATAAACTGGAGAAAAACAGGTAAGTTATATACCGTATCTTTGCCGGTTCTTGTTCTGGACCTTTAATTTACACATGTATGTCATCAAGCATGATAACATTAAAGGTATTACAAAGTTTTGGTATGGGGTCATGAATTTGGTTCAAATGAACATATTTGAAGCATATGCGATCCTACAATATTCAGTGATCATTTTCGCGGTTGAAATCGAGTCTAAAGTGATGAAATTGTAAATAATAAACTCTTCATGTTGTATAGCTCCCTCTCAAGGTCAAAATATTAATTAAGCTATAAAACAATGTTTCTTGACTAAAATCGACCGATTAGCTATTCCCATTCGGAAATTATATATCACAACCTTATATCCTGAGATTTTCATGGTCGCAGCTACCATTGTACGGCCGTAGGTGCTTTTAGAAATGTATCAAAATTTACCGGGAGCACCGGTAAATTTTTAAATTCAATTTTTTTTTTAAAGCAGAAGTGTTTTAGGGGCCAAATGTTCTAGTGCTCGTAATACATCCACAGAGGCATTCAAAATTGGGTGGATAGTGATTCTTTACAGGTTTGATATATTTGAATTTCAAATATATCAAACCTGTAAAGAATCACTATCCACCCAATTTTCAAGATTTCCCAAAACTTTGTATTACCTTTAAAAGAGAATGCTGTAATTGATGCGGGACTTCTCTTTGATATTTCTTACCAAATAGTAATATTTGAATATTTTATCTCAGATATATTATACCGGTATCTAATGATTTACTATTTAAAATTTCAGATCGATAAATTATTTTGATTGGAAGAATGTTACTATTATTGAACATGAAACAATATGCAAACATGCATCATGGTTTAGGGTGAGATTTTCATGGACTAATTAAATGCCAGGACATGCTGGACTTCTCTGTTTTGCAGTTATATGCAAGGCAATGTATCACCTGTAAATGTTTTAGTATCTTTGTTTATTTCTTTGTATGTTGTTGTTATGTTTTTTAATTTTTTTTTAGAAGAGCGTCTTTTAAAAAAAACTGTAAAGTTTGAATGCATCATGCAATAGTGTGGCCAATTTGAAGGCAGAAAATACGATTAATTTAATGCATGTAAAAAGTTTTTTTCTTTTCTCTTTATTGGATTAATCTCTGACATGTTTTCCTTTCTGTGTTTGTCCATTTCCAGACGGGCGCATCTGAAGGATTGCTTCGAAAACTTAAGAAATACTGTTCCTAACATGGAGGATAAGAAGGCAAAGACATCCAACCTTAGCATCCTACGGGGCGCCCTCAGGTTCATCCAGGTATATAGTCTTTTGGCCCGTCTTATATTTGTTGCCTATTTATCTTATCGAGTTAGTTGAAATATACATTGTATTCCAGTTCATATTTGTTCTTTTAGCCTCTTATATATCTCTCTCACTCTGTAAGACTAAGCCCATGAGATTCGACCCCATCAATTCACCATCTGCAACATCATCACAATTTGTTGTCATTTTGCCTGAAGAAGTTACAGGTGTACATGTATGTGTAGACCTAAGACCCCCCTCCCCCCCCCCCCCCCTACTAAGAGACCCGCACTATGGGTTGATTTCATCCCGTTCTAGCTCATCCAATTTATGATATGTTTCCTGCTTCAGGTCTTGACACGCAAAGAGCGAGAGCTTGAACACGAGCTTGACCGACTGGTACGCCAGAAGATTGAGGCTCAGCAGAGACTGGACCTTCTCAAGATCAAGAACGGCTTGACCATCGGCAAACCCATCAAGCTACCAACACTTACAGGCAGGGAGGAGGAGGAGATTGAAGAGGATGATGATGACGATGAGGAGGAGAGACTGGTCGTTGTCGAGGATAAGGATGTGGATGTGACGGTGGATGATGAGATCAAGAATGAAGTTGAAGATGACCAAGTATCAACATCAACTGCGTCAGGTAGGATTCTACTTTGTCTTTATGTGGTATCCTTTAGTAGGAGTGCATGGCAACAGTAAAGCTCTGTCAGTAGTGTATATGGTCTTAGAGGGTGGTTTAAAAGGCATCCACATTACATTGACTTGCAATCTATGAGAGTGTTTCTGTTTCTTTAAACTTCATATTAATAACATTCAAATAACTGATATGAACAAATGAAAATATTACATCTGATAGGCTTTAATCATATTGTTAGCAAATTCTGTCAGTTGCTACTACTTACAAGTCTCTATGAAACTAAGTGTTGGTTGAAACATGAAAGAACTTGCTGTTCTTAGAGTCAGATCTTATAACAATATTTAATGATGTTGGGACAAAAACAAAAGATGTCCATACAGTGTCTGTTTTTTACTACAGCTTGTCACCATTACAAGACAAAACCCTACACATTTGCTCAATACTTGCTAGTAGAGTATAGATTCTCTTGGCTCTGTCGAAAGAACATTGGTAACTTTTTTGTAAATCTACAAAACTAAACTGGAAAAAGTATTTTAGAATAGGGAGATGATGATACCAAGCTTTCTGGATGATTTGACGTGTATAGAGGTTTTCTGATATTTTTGTTTTTTGGTAGAGGTTGCTAATTTGAAGATATGATCACAGTCTTATTTTTCAATGCTTTTATTCTGTTACTCTTGCAGAAGCGGAAGAAGAGGAGAGGAAATCTCGTGCTCAGTCCCGATCTCAGTCTCCTCTTCACCAACCTGTGTCATCATCTCATCTCTCTTACTCTCTTCCTGGAGTCTCCTATCAGCAAGCCTTCGCCAGCTTTCAAGGAGCCATAAAGGAGACCCCTCCGTACACCCACGCTGCCTCCCGTCCGGTGGGTCTCAGCCGCTCGGCCAACGAAGCCATGTTGAGGTTCACCACCATGAGAGACGCGCAACCCCCTCAGGGTTCGGATCCGTTAAGGCCGAAACAGAAACTCCCTGAGGCCATCCTGCCCAGGCATGGGTCAGCCCCATCCTTAGGAACCAGTGCCATTCCACCACAAAGGACCACATACATGCAAATGACTCAAGACAACGTATCCTCAGTGCTTCATAGTGTTGCCAATCAGATATCACCTGTCACAAGGATAGAGACACCCATTGTTGTCAGCCAGTCCTCTGGAGCACTGGCTGGAAGTGTGACTAGGCAGACAGTTAGCCAGCTCTTAGGGAAGCAGCCAGTGGTCAGGCAACCTGTTAGACGGCAGCTATCAGTGTCTCAGCTTCCTGTCATCCAGCATCCGCTTCAGACTCCTCATCATCTCCTTCCTCGGATCATGAACACCAACCCTTCACTCAGGTTAGGATTCAACCCAACCACTCAAGGTGTGATAGGACCTGCCAAGCCAGTAGTTACAGTGGGAATCAACTCGCTGCTTGCACAACCTTCAGTCATTCAAACAACCAGCACCCACAGGACTGTCATATCAAACGGATCAGGGACAACAGTTCCTGATCCAAGCACAGTGACATTCACTGCCAAGCCAACTACTCCATCAGTCATCACTGCCTCTCCCTTCACAACCCCTATTGATACTAGTCCTCTCATAACAAGTGTTCTGGGTACATCAACTGCAGGAGTGTCAAGGTCTACAAGTCTGATGACAGCGTCAGTCATCACTCAGACTCTCCCAGTCATGTCCCATACTGGACACAACCAGTTTATCCCTCCTATTGCCCTTCAGTCTCCTGCTAATGCCGGGGCTTCTCTTCTCTTTCACCCATCTAGCTACATTGGCCTGCCTCACTCCATGTTACCCCAGCCCTTCCTTGGATCCTTCGCAGCCACCAGACCATCTCACATACAACTAGCCACCTCTACACAGGTTAGCCCATCCTTTGCAGCGTCACAACCTCTTGTCCATCCGTCCACGCAACCCATTGATTCAGCCAATCTATTAGCTCTGGCACAAGCGCTCCCTAAACAAATGCCCCCTGCACAGTTTCCAAGTGCCCTGAGCATCGGTAGTCTTGCTTCTCCAGGAACTCTGCTCTCAACAAACCTATCAGCTGTCAATCATGGTTCCTTCACAACTGTGTCATCAACCCCAATAAGTGCAGCCCCTGCTGTCAAAAACGCAATGTCCGCAGCAGCCCCTGCGAGTAAAAAATCCAAATCCTCGGCCTCTGGTTCATCTGGGGGCAAGGGGTCAAGGAGCAAACATGGCAAAAGCCTTAACGGTAAGACTGAAATCCAGATTACAACCTCTAAGATTGCAGAGACAATGGCCACTCTGGCCAATACGCAGGTCATTGCCAACAATGGACATTCCACGTCAACGGTCAATAACAGGAGTAGCCAGCAGTCTGTGGTCGTCAAATTATAGCGCCTATATATGGGAAAGTGTCTCTGGTGTATACATGTAAACTGCCTTATGACTGTAGTTGTTGTGAGTTGGTGAGACTTCAGTGAAAGATACAATTTGCTGATAGCTACACACTGTGAGCTTGCTGCATGGTTAAGTCTTTGTTTGGGAAGCTCATGCTGTCACAGACTTGCAGCATGTCCAGATGACAAGATGTTTGTCCAAGATTTTGATTATAAGTGGGATGCTTTACATGAATTTTTTGAAAGGCCTGAGCTTGCAATGCAGAGTTACACACACACACAATTATTTTATTATCATGCATCTAATTCTTTCTTGTAAATCCACTCCAAATTAGCAATGTGTTGAGTTTGTGTAAGCCTCTACTCAAACAAGGCAGTAACTAATATTATTTTATGTTATGCTTAATAGTTCAAAGATGTAATAATTAACACTGATGATATTTTCACCTTATTCAATTGCAATGTATTTTCAAAGTGGTACTGTTTTAGTTTTTTCCCCATTTTTTCAAATATTTTCAAATATTGGCCATTGTAGGAAGATTCCTGGTAAATTGAAAACAAATCGTTAACTAAATTATCAAACACTTTCCAGAGTCTAAAACATATTCTGCGTTTACAAGCAGAAAAGATGTAATGTTTGACATGTTGATATTTATATTGTTTATTAACGAAGGGGTCAAACAAAGGGAAAGGTTTCACCAGAAAAAAAGTAGCTTACATTGATCCCAAAGTTCCTAATTTAATTCAAGTTTCCAAGCAGTCCACTTTTCACCTGATTTTTCATCAAGTTCAAAACACAAAGGCATTCATCTTAATGACTCTCTGTGGGCTTTTTTTATTAGTATATTGTTCTGTTTAACTATAACTATCATCACTATCTTTGTCATATTAGGACATTTCTGAAAATCTGATTTACATGAAATATCATGTCATTTTATTTTTATGCTTCCAGAGTCCTTTCATGGTCCATAAATGTTATGATGGGGTGCAAAATCTCTGCACATTCTTATTTAATATGGTTTGGTTCTCCTACAAATACTGTTGATGCAAATGTAGATATGTAAGAATACTTTCATACAATAGAGATATATATATATATTTAAAAAAAATTCTGTACATAGTGGATATATAAATGTGTAAATGGCATGTAAATTGGTCAGTGGAGTATGGCTCCATTCTATTGTGTGAATGAAACACTTATTTGTGTGTGAGAATTAATTTGCCAGAAACGATTGAATGCCTTGTGATCATAATGCACTGTGTAGATGAAATTCAACTTGAGACTTTCAATTCTTATTAGCTTCTTGAAATTCATATCTTTCATCTTGTCAAGAGTTTATTCAAATTAGTCAGGGACAGAAAGAGTAACACTCGCTAGAGTATGCATCAACTAAAAAAGACTTCATGGTCCAATTTATTATTTAATAAAAATACCTGAACATTTCCTTATGTTAAGGTGCTCTCTGATCCTTCTTATTTTTTACACACATTTTTTCCTTCTTTGATATGGTAAATGTCATTTGATCTACTCCAAGCCAAAAAGGTTTAAGGTCATGCCATTAAGACAGGGTTTCTGGCTCTCAATAGACAATTTAAATGGGTATGAATTATAATGACATGCATCTAATTGTCTACTAGAGCAAGAGCTAAAATAAAATAAAATAAACAGTACTCAAACTAATTTCTGCTGCCCTCTTAGAATCATCCCCTATTGTTTGTTACACAATGGCCCTTTCAAACTATGTAAACTCACTATGTAACACATGTTCTTGGTATCTGATTTGTTTACTACTTTGTTTTCCTATTAGCCTCTCTAGGAATTTCTTGGATGGTGTGGGGGCAAAATTAGTGTACTTTGTATTATTTTTTTTTTTGCGGAGGAATTTTCAGATTTCCCTTTTTTAAATCACTCTCACTGTTGGTATCAACTCTGTGTAACCATAGATTTTCCAGGTACTGTCAAACTATACTGATTATGCACACCATCTCATGGGTTAAAAGAAAATGGTGCCAGAGGGAGATTGAAAGCAGACATTGGAACTATAAAGGCTCGTTCAGATATGATAGGGTAACCGCACACAGACACCACTAAGTTTTTTTTCTTGGTGTAAGCGTAAATGAATAGTTACTGCGCGCAACAACGGTCTTGTGCCATGTCCACTGAGCTCCGTGTTATAAGATACAGATATATGACACGTATTACACTTAATGTCATCTTGAAAAGAAAACGCTTGGGTTTTGCTGGGTCATATCTGAATGAGGCCTGAGAAAGCATGTGGAAAGTCTTGTATTACTAAGGGTTCAGTTACTGGGCACGTGGTTACAGGCATGAGTTATGTTGGATAGTATGATCATGAATTAAATTCAAATATGTTTAATTTCCAGTTTGAATCTTATGAATAATTATTACCATGATTCTTTTTTGAAGATCGCATTATGTGACGCATCTGTATCAGAGAGATACATTGACCTGGCTAGTGGTAAAGGATATGCTAAGGTATGCTCATGATAATAAATCCCTTGATGTAGATTGCAATTAATTGCAATTTTGACATATGGTATATAGTTTTGTTTAGCAGAGATGATTTTAGAGGATTACCCATCCTGCCCACACCACCCACCTTTGTCTATGTTAATCTTATACCCTTTTCTACGACTAGCGTTTGTTTGCATTAAGGCTATACACTTTCTGTGACAATGTAAAACAAACGGCCATTTTTAACCTGTACATAGACATATGGTATACCACTGTGAAAGTTGACCTTCCACATGCCTTACAAGTCTAGAAGAGTATCTGCCTCATTCAAACTATTGATATGAAATAGTTCATTCTATTATTGTGTTATTTATTGGTTTCATTGCACACTTCATCCAAATGTTGAAATATCTAAACAATTTTATTGATAAGGCATTGCAATGGGATAGTCAGGAGAAACATAATGAATATGCCCAAACCAAAAAAAAAAAAAGGTAAAAGGAAAAATGGAACTCCAATTTCTTACTTGTAATCATGATTTTGTAATAAAAATGTGACTGAAGTTTGGTTTCAAGTTCATAGATATATGTATTTTCATCATGAGAGGAAGATTCAACCCTGATAGCTAATTGTTTTGAGTTACAACAGAGTATACCTAGGGAAACAGCTAAGAGAAATCCATAAATAATTATGAAATTGCGAAGCTTTAGATCCCTGGCATGGGAATTTCAATGAGGTAAATCTGTGATGTCAGGATTATGAAATGTAGGATAACTCTCCCATATCTTTCTGTTATTTTGTTGGCTAGAAATATAATTGTTCTCAATTTTATAACTGAGTAGGTTTTTGTATTTGAGAACATGTTAATACTAATGGATTTTTATAATATATTTTCGAGCCTGTCCCAAGGCATAATATAGTTTCAGATTACTTGTATTTCACTTTACTTTACAAACTAATGCAATAGTTAAACTATTGTCGAACAGGGTGAATTGGAATGAAATTGAATTCATGTTTTGACATTTTTCTGTTCATACCTTTTTGACCTTTTTTGTGTAATATTCCTGGGGAAAAGCAATGTCACAATCCCAAATTTGTTCCATTTACACAGGTGTTCCCATGAACCTCATTTTATAGTACATGTGTATTACCTCACAATAGCATGACAAATGGACTTGTTTAAGAGTCTCGTACATTCAAACTCATTTGTTGAACTTTCTTTTCGAATTTCAATCTTTTACTCTTATATGCTTTCATTTATCCAAATCAACTTATGATGAAAGATGGTTTCCCTTAAAGTTCCATATTGACCTTCTCTAAATTGTGTCTTGTATAATACTAACAAATTACTGGAAGTGTGGTATTTTGATGATAAGATGATGTAAAAGTAAAAAGAAGTTAGTATGCCGGACAATGCTTGAAATCTTCACAATTTTGCCAAAGAAAAGATTAATGAGTTGTTATGCACTTTAAGTAAAAACTAATCTTATGGCTTATCATTACGTTTATGAAGTTTTGCTAGAATTGAATTTATTTTTGAAAATTTAACAGGTAATGATGTAATGCCATTTACCTACCTCTCTTAAATGCGAGCAAGATACACAATGAATCATTTAGAGCAAATATTCTCTAACAAGAAGGAAAATTGAATGTATTGTGTGGTATAATACAGCTTGTTAGGATTAATACATTTTAAATGCGTGGACGTTCTGTAACTAGATCACCATTTTAGTACTGCCGAAAGATGTTTACACAAGTGTATAGATGTTTGGAAAAAAGCGTGTTGCGCATAAGGGTTAGCTAAGAATGAGGACAGCTAGTACACACTTGATCACACATATTATTCCTGAATTCTAGAAAGTTGAACAGAAATTGGGAAGCATATAGATCCTTTTTTGTGTAATGGGTGATATAGTCCATGATTTCCTTGTTATGCTGCAAATTGCACACTTATTCAAAATATCAATCTTTTAAAACAACAAAATGTTCTGTCTAGATGTTGGGGACAAAATCTGAAAGGTTTATTCAAGTCAAAACTAAATGAGTGGTGACACAAATGGGTTTTATTTATTTAGATTCTTAAAAAAAAAATATTAATCCTCTTGTTGAGCTGAAAACAATGATTTTGGAGTTATCTGTAATATGCAGGGCAAACAGAAGTCTCAATGATCATGTTTGGAAAATCATGGATCATTCTCATGATGCCAAATTTAAGTATTTTTTGTTTAATAGTTGGGATGTTTTCCTGTGAAGATATGTAAAATAATCCCACTTCTAGTACAATTTCATAGACATATGATGTTTGGAGAAAAAAAAAGATCTATTAACAGCTGGATTGCCTTTTTGAAGAGCGTCCTGCATGATCATATTTTGAGAACCATTGTTGCGAATGAGTTAAGGACCTTACATGTTAATTTAATGTGAAGGAGACCAAATAATAGGCATTATAGGCTGCGTATTAAAAAGAAATTCTGTACGGTTTCATATTGGGTAAATGTGCTATATACAATCTTAAATTTGATTCTGTAAGGTGGATTATTATTGTCCCTTTTATGAATAATATAGAATATTTAGAATTCATTCGGAACTGGTTTGCCACTCATATATTTCATTCAATTTGCTTTTCCTAATACAACTATACGTAATCTACAATTCTTCATTTCTCAAATGCTATTGAAAATTTAATGACACAATTTACTCTGAATATCTTCACTCATAAACTGGATTTCAGTAACATTTTAAAGTTTCTAGGTGTCAGATTTTCGTTAAATTACTGAATTTAATGTTTCCTCATTTAAAATTCATTATTTGTAAATCTCTTCCTGAAAAGATGGTTATTTTTAAATCTTGTAGGAGGTAAATCATGCTCTGTAAAATTCAACAAAGTTGTTTTCATTTTCTTATTACTTCATCACGATGATAATCATAGGAAATCACTACTTATTACCTTCCATACTTTTTTGTGTAAATTGGAAGAAATAGAATTGGATTGTGTAGGAGGTTTAATGAAGAAAGAGAATATTAACAGGGTTACTGAGTGCTTGCTGCAGTTTGTAAAGAAAGAATAAACAGAATATATACTTATAAAAATAGTCTTACATTACTTTTTTTTTTACCTAAATGTTATATACATTTTATTTCCAAGAGATGTTTTTTATAATGTAGTTTCTCTTTCAGTATAAAATCAAAGTCTTTGATTTTAATAACAACATTGTTGATCCTAACATCTTATTAATCCATTGTTTTATTTGCTGTACCACATTTCCCAAGCTCGCTCAAAATAGTTGCCATATTTCCTTATTTAAATACAATCTACAATTGTGATGATAGATAATAGAGTTGTCCAGCACTGGGAATTAATGTGCATAATAATTCAAGCCTTTACTGAGTTATAAACCATTTAGACAATTATTATCTCTTTGATTATAGTTGTATTTGGGAGTCTGAAAGACTGTCTGAGGTAAGCTTGACTATGTACCCAGCTTGCATCCTGTCAATTCGAATCCAATTAACTTGTTCAAAGAAATTAATGTAATATTTCATCATAAGTAATCTAGGGAAGCATCCATACATTTAAGGTCAAGTGAGAATACATATGTGAAGAGCTATTCTCTATTCAAGGATTTGTTATAAGAATGAAGTAGTCTCATTCCAGACTGATATGTACATTGCTGCATGATGATTACAGAGTGTAAGATTATCTTGTACAGTATCTATATTATGTGTATGTAATACACACATGAAAATAAAGAAAAAGATGTAATTTTTCTATCAAACAGAGACACTGTGTCGGGTATCATTTTTTTTTTTTTGTAGTTGGATATTTTCTGTTTTCCTTATTTAATTTGTAATACTTTTTTAAATGGACATATTCCCTCTGATACAAGTATTCAGAATTAGCAGGATAGAACAAGAAAATCAGAGAAACATACATGTGTAATATGGAATTTTTTAGAAAATCAGACAAAACAATATATGAATATAAGAAGGTCACAACAGTGTTTGCCAATGGCAGGCTTCCTGTTATTAGTGATCACAACAACTTACATTTTTTTTTACTTTCTCCTCCTTCCATTTATTTCTCTGATTTTTCTACTTAAGGTCGATTCCTGTGTAATTGCAAAATCTTCCTTCAAACAGAATTCCACCTTAAATCCTCATCATAAAATGTACTTTCCACATGCTCATCACAATATCATACTTATGGAACATTAGAAAAAAGTACAAGTCAAGTAGATACAAAAACAAACAGGACCTTCATTTTTTTTTGTCCACACAAATGGATTTTAATAGTATTGCACAAATTCACAGTCCATTTCAAACATATAATGGACGATAAAGTCTTCATTTTCATTCTGAAATCATATACACTACATGACTGTTTACAATGGAGACAGGCTCTGTTGTACACACGTACTATGGGTAGTTTTAGATACCAAATTGATTATATCAAGACAATTATGTACATTCCTCAAAAATATGAATCCGGTATTCTGATTGTGTGCATGGCTGTGTCTGTGGAAGTATGTAACATGGAATAAATTATTAATTGGGAAGAGCATCGAAATAGCTCAATGTATCGCTTAAGCTTCAAAATCTGTCGGGCTGCGATTAAGAAAGCCATGTTGGGAGATGAACTGAATATAAATGAGCTCCTTTTTCTTGGAGTAGATACAAGTTTAAAGAGAATAAAACTAATTTATTCCAGTTGAACTGAAGCCAAGCAACACCCAACTTTCAGAGAAAACCAATTAATGATAGTTCTACACATTGAACTAATTATTTTTACGCCCTTTCTGTTATTTTGAGAAGTGAAAGTTGTTGCATCATTACAGCACATGAAAGATATCGCATCAAGACTTGATTACATATTCACAAAATATGGGCAGAACAGATATGCCACATAAGGACTTGATTTCTATACTTCTTTAGAATAAAATCCTACACTTCTTAGTATTTTATTCTTTACAAACAGAAGCAACCATCCAAATACAGTAAATTTCATATATGTCATTAGAAAACACCCAAAATATATCCAACAACTTGATGCATTCTTTTAGTGTTCAACATAGACAGGCTTCTCTGAGAAAATGTCATTTTAGTTTTCTTAGCCATAGGTGAATTTGTAAATTGGTTTACAAACTGATCATCTTACACAGATATCATATTTCTTAATTTCCTGAAGTAGGGCATAAATGTTGAAAACCTGATGCTGGAGGGATAAGAATACAATGGATATTCAAACATTTGTAGTGCAGCAATTGAAATAATAATCACAAACCTACACAATTTGGTGATGTAAGTTTTTTTAATCTTTCGGGAATAGATGGTCTCCAATAATTCATCTCTGAATTGTAAGAATTTTATAATTTCACGTAAAAGTGGCTTCCTTTTGTAGAAGTAGGGCAGAAAGGTTAAAAACAGGAAACTGGCTAGATAAGAATAGAATTGAGTAATCATTGCAAACCTACAAAATTTAGTGATGTAAGCCTGTTTTTGAGTACACAGGTTCTCCACATATCGATGAATAATTCCATCTTACCAATTTTCCATTAGCGCCAAAGGGCGTGAAAACAATCAGTCATGACAAACGGGACCTTTCCTAGCTAATAATACAAGCTGTCTGATACCCATTGATTAATGGAGTATGGCTACAGCTGTTGCTATGGCAATTCATCAATCAAGGGAGGGGGAAGGGGGAAGGGGGTGAAATGACTTCCCCGTCCTTTTTTGTTACCAGTAAGTAACCTTTTGCTTGATTTGCACATTTTTTTCCTTCTCATTCCTGATATTTTCTTTGCAAAAAACCTCCTATTCTCTTTAAAACAAAATGACGAGATTTTTGTGTTTAAAGTGCATGGGGAAGGAGGGGGCAGGAAATATTTTCATGCACCTCCCCCCTGCCTTCACACCCCTTATAATCAGACCTGTGTACATATATACATGTACTCACCATTATTTGGCTTTATTGAAGCCTTATTTCAGAGAGGGGACAAATTCAGAAGGAAAAAAAGTGTGAGGGGGGGGGGGGGGGGGGGAGAGGAGAAAGATGATGTCGAAGATGAAATTATTATCATTTGCTTCTCCTTTACTACTTAAAGATGGGAAAAAGTGAAATTAATCATTTGGAGACCGATTGAACAATGTGCTTATGTTCAATATGGTGCGAGCATCATCCATACTATTAACACGCTGTCTGACAGGAATTCACAATGATTAATTACTTTGTTAACAAACAAAAATATTTGTCTCAACAAAACATTTATATGAGTACCATTTCAAATTCAATTTTAACAACAGTTTAGATAATACATTCATACTAAAGTGTAACATTTTCTTTGCACAGTGTCGACAAAATAATTTACTTCTTTATTGATATCATATAAATAAATGGAATAAAACTTAATTATGAACAAAAGGTGATGTCACGATACACTATCTTACACATATATATATTAATGGTATTCACATCAGATGAGAAGGTGATATTAATAAAAATGTTTATTGGTTGTAGTCTGATGACAACATTCCTGAATCGTGATTAAACTTCATTTCATTTTATTTCATTTTATTTCATTGGTTTTGAGCCACACATATGTCATTGTGAGTTTTATTTCCTCTCATTTTTTTTTTTTTAGGGGGGGGGGGGCTTAATACTGAAATGAATGCCCCTTCCTGAAATGCAACAGTACATGCGACTGAAAGAAAGAAAAAGTTCTTGTAATTTGTTATTAAATTTGAAACTTACATGCTGATATGGTGCATATTTCATGTGGGATTTTTATACTTATTTTAGCATTAATAAATAAATAAATAAGGAAACTTGTAAACTGTGCATCCTTAAACATAATTTTTCATGAAATTATGTTTTCATAGAACCCTCATCAATAACACGAGATAGTGAGTTCCTTGTATCTAAAAATAAATTCATCATCCAACTCTTATGTACTCATTATTTGTTTTTATACAGATATACACAGAATATCCACTCCACTCATAAGCATGAGACATACATAATATAGACTTAAGCTTTGCCTATGATACAAAATCATGCTAAAGATTCATATATGTCTTGACTCAATACACAAGAGATTAAACTTACATGTAGGTACACAGCGTGACTCGAAAATCTGTGTACCGGTAACTTTGATAAATTAATCCTTTTCTAATAATTCCACTTTCTTTATAACATATATGTACATACAACAGCTTAAGCAAATCACTTAGAACTCTATACACCAATAGTACTTTCAAGTTAATGATGCTATTTACAATCTTAGATTTTGAACTCCACTTGTTTACACAGAACTCTATTTCTATTTTACTATTTACAGCAAGATAATATGTTCTCTTATAATACACACAAAGGGGCATTCCACTGAATGGATGCACTTGTGCTACAAAAGATAAATAAATACTTAATGATATTTGGCTCTGCAAGTATATCGATAATAAACACTTCAAATTAAATAGACAAGGAATATAACTTTGAAATATACTTTGTTTGCACATACTTTTAAAGTTTGTCTCTAGATAAAGCTTTGACATTTATGGTCCTTCTATGACACATACCTTGTGAAAATAATACACACAAAAATAGGCCTTACCGTAAGTACAAGTTGCCATAATATTAGTAACTCAGAAATAATTCAAAAATCATGATATCTTTATACCAATAATCAGTAAAATAATATGAAAATCAGTAAAAAGACCAGTAAACCAATCTTTAGAATCATTATCTGCTGCGGGCTAGGGCCATGTAGTATTAAACCATCGTAACTCAAAGTTAATGGATATCCTGTTGAAACGCATGTTATGAAATTAGCACACATTTCAAAGGAATATTGGTGACCTATTACGATTACGCGAGATGCAGTTCAGAATATAAATTTATAGCCTTCAACAGCACCAAAAGAGCATAAACTCACCATTATCAAAAGCATATGGGTTACTGCCCATTGGGCTCCAAACAGATTATATAAGGTGTCCATATGGCTATATACATAATTTGTCATTTAAAAGATATATATTTCTCATCCTGCATCCTAAAAATAGAAACAGATTGGATGGAAATGGTGCTGGTTGCCATGGTAACAAGGATGCATATCGTGGTTCAAGTTACTAAGCCATTATGAGGGGCTAACATTAAGAGAGAGAGAGAGAGAGAGAGAGAGAGAGAGAGAGAGAGACCTAGAAGAAGTTTGTGGGAAAAAGGATACAGATATTGGTAATATTATAAGGGGAGAGAGGAGAGACTGAACCAGAAAAGTAAAGAAGTTAGAGGGAGAGGGGGGGGGGGGGGGTAAATAGAAATGAGAGACAGAAGCAGAGAGAGGAAGAGGGAAGGATTACGGAGAGATGAATGGGGAAGGGGAGTGAGTAGAGAACAGAGGGGAAAGAAAGTTAAAAAAAAGAGGAGAAAGGAAGATAGACACAAGGCAAGTAGCAGAATGGGATAGACAGATGGACAGAGAGAAGTGAGTAGAAAAGAAAAAGAGAGATAAAGAGAGAGAGAGAGGGAGGGAGGAAGAGAGGGAGAGACAGACAGAGATTTTGAGAGAGAGAGAGAGAGAGAGAGAGGGAGGGAGGAAGAGAGAGAGAGAGAGAGAGAGAGAGGGAGGGAGGAAGAGAGAGAGAGAGAGAGAGAAAGAGATAATTCAGGGTGAGTCGGATTAATATTCGCTCCATAATGGATTTTCAACAAAACATGCAAGGAAAATTATTCTGGATTAAGTGGATATTGAGCAGTCCCGATTCAACTGCCCCACAGTAATGATAATCATGCCTCTCTCGAGGTAAAGCCCCTGAGATTTCCATCGCATGAAAACAGTTGACACGTGTTTGCATCACCACGTGGAAGGGTCTAATGCTGCATGTAAGACGGGAGAAAATACACATAATTGCCCACTTGTGACAAACACAGATGCTCGTGTGAGTACTTTTGGTATGAAACAGCATGGTAAGATGGTATGTTTCAGTGAACGTGCTCTCCCATTGGTGCCTTAAAAACGTGCTCGCTCAATTCTGATTCATGAGTTCTATTCAATTTAATCTATCCCCTTTTTAGTGTTAGTGATAAGGAGAAAAGAGAATCTAAACTCGCTTTTCCCATGTAGTAGGTCCATGCTTTTCCATAACGGCATTGAGCAAAATAAGGAAAGACAGAAAGAGGGAGAGAGAGAGAGAGAGAGAGAGTAAGAGAAAGAGAGAGAGAGAGATAGAGAGGGAGAGAAGCAAATTAACATATAACCATTGACAGAGAAGAACTTTGGACAAAAATGAAGAAAAAATGAACACAGATTGACTGAAAGAGAGATAAAGAAAGAGATAAAGAGAGAGATAGAGAGAGAGAGAGAGAGAGAGAGAGAGAGAGAAAAAGAGAGAGAGAAAAACAAATGAGCAGAGTGAGACAGAGGGAGAGGGAAAGAAAGGGAGGGAGAGAAAGAGAGAAAGAGAGCGAAAAAAAGAGAGAGAGAGAGAGAGAGAGAGAGAGACAGACAGACAGACAATCAGACAGAGATTTCAATTAAACAATTTTCAAATGAAGACACTATACGGTCAAGAAACTATGTCAGACGACATGAGCTGTAGACTGGAAATGATATGAACTCACAATACACAGCATATCAAATTACCCTGATGCATGCACTACAGCATGTTCTATGGATAAAGAAGCTCTTCAAGGAATTCCTCTTATTTGAAATTCAACTTAGAGACAGAAATCTTGTTGTATAATAAGAGTACGTTCTAGCTCTCTCTTGTTGAAAATGAAATCAGAATGTATTTATGAACAATTTGGAAAACAATATCTGCAGAAATGTAGATTGGAAGAAAATCGTTGGCAAGGATTCAACACTCGGAGTGCTTTCTTTGTCTCTCTTTACAGAGATGGTTTGCCACATGTGCAATTTTGCACAAAACAATAGACACCAATCCACAAAAGAATACAAAGGCTTTGCAACTTTACCCATTCCTGGTGTTGATTAGCTCAATTTAATACATGCACAACCCTTTAGACACCAGTCTAGATTAATCTTGCATTGGTAAAGTTAAATCATCTGTAATCCTTTGGTATATCTATCCCATAATAAATATAATGTGGCACAGGGAGATCATTGGTGTGGCATATACATGTAAAGAGTTAATGGGGATTGTATAGAGGAGCAATATCATGCGTAGTACTATTGTACAGAGAACATGATGTCAGATGTTACCACTGATGGCAATTTTCTCATTCGCATGAGGCCCGTGTGAAATGTATTTCATCACAGAATTTTTTCGTCAGGTATAATGTGAAATATCTATACAGGGAAACATTTTTCTAACTGTAAATTTTGAGACCAACTATTTTTCAAGACAAAATATAAAGTCTTAAATATGTTCCATTGCAAGCTAAATATAATTAATGAATCTGATAAATCATACATTTAAACTAAAGATTATAATCATTCTATAATCATTGAACATCTGGTATTGCTAGCATTATTTACACAGTCCCCACATATGCATTATGTGTTTGCACTTCTACATTTTAAGTGATTTTCAAAAAGAGTTCACAACTTATATCCAATTTCGATAATAATCCTCACAAAATAAGAGAATTTTCAAACTTTAGTCGATCAACGATTCAGAATAAAATGTATCGCAACATTGCTGTGAGAGTGGGTGTGAGAGAGAGGGAGAGAGAGATAGAAAGAGAAAGAGAGATAGAAAGAGAGAGAGAGAGAGAGAGAGAGAGACAGAGAGAGATAGAAAGAGAGAGAGATAGAAAGAGAGAGCAAAAGAGAGAGAGAGAGAGCAAAAAACAGAGAGAGTGAGACAGAGAGAGAGAGATAGAGAGAGAGAGAGAGAGAGAGAGAGAGAGAGAGAGAGAGGTATTCCTCTTTCACACCATTCAAAGGTTTCGAGAGTCTCTGCGAAGAAAGGAGAGTAATGAGAAAGGTCACCTCAGAATGAGTTCACATCTTGGTAAGATTCATTAGCAAAAAAAGTCAGAATGTCTGGCAAGGCTTCCTATAAATACTTAATCTCACACTACCAGAAACTGAGGAAACAAACATCACAATTAGTGACAGTGGCTCTCACACAGTGGTAAAGTCAAACTAACTGCTCCATTTTTTAATTTTTTAATTTAAAAAAAAAAATAAATGTAATGCTTCCTGGGAGAAAGGCAGGTTCAAATCCCGCTGGTTCCAAGATTTTTTCTGACTTGTTTTTCAATTACAGATCGATCAATCGATCTTATTTAATGGGTGTAAGCCACAAATATGTTCAAACTATTAACTGCTCCATGTCTTTGAGATGAGTTCAGTGTGGCAGAACAAAAGGTGCACTAATTACAATCGCTGGTTCAAAGCAGCATTTTTGGGAGAAATTGTGATTTTTTTTTAGCCACCTCTGTGCAAAATCCATGTTTTCTGTTTATACAGACTGACAATAAATGCACAATCAATTCAGGGTATAGAGATGCACATGTGTATCCATGCACATTTTTAAAGACTTTTAAGAGATCAAAATTTTGCTACAGGTAAATAATTTCCTCAAGTGATTGTAAAATAACTGCAAATATAAATAAAACAATTTTGGAATACAAATATGGAATGTGGGATCTATATATGGAAAACATTAACAGTTCTGCAAAAGATTAGGATAAATGACAGTTATGACAATCTGAGAATTAAACTCTGACACTAGAATATTTAAGCTGTTTCCATGGAATTTTTGACTTTTAAAGAATGGTAGAACTAGGAATGTATCCCTCATTCACAGGACACGAGTGTCTCTTATTACATCAACAAGCAATGTAAAGATATAAGGTTGGTAATCAAATCAAACTTTTGAATGGAATAACTCTTTAAATATTCCTTTTAGCATAAATGAAACCGATCACACTCAGGTCTATTGCATTTATAAATAGAAAAATAAAATGAAATGCAGCATAGATTACAGCATTCAACTATCGTGATTCTTACAATTCTGCGATTACCACTGATTCCCTCTGAGTTCAAATGCACTAAATGTTTGCACTGTGTTTATATCAATCTCGCCAATACACCTCAGCTACATGTACTCAGGGTTCTATGAAGTGCACAAGACCTTTGATGGGTGACATGCTTTCGAGTAATAGCAATTTCAATTGCTTTTGTCACCCCTGACCAGCAGATTGTATCCTTTTCTCTCTCCGCTCCACTTTCCTCAAGCTGTTTGCACGTATGATGAAATTTCAATCTATTATCTGATTATTATACTCATTGGATGTTTTCTGATTGGTCAAATAAATAATAATAATAATGATCAACTGTGGGAGATTTTGAAACAAAACGACCAAGGGCAAAGCCTGAAATGACAAGCATAATAAAGCCTTAACCGGTCTATATGCTGATGCACACTTTCAATACTCTCTCTGTAACTGCTTTTCTCCTTTCACTGAATAATAAGACTAAAATTTGATTGATTTTCCATTTAAATCTGCACTTAAAATACAAATGCTCATTACAATTCAAGTTATATAAAATTGGAGCATGTGAGAATGAAATATGTGTATGGCAAACACATGCATTCATTTTCTATTCATATGAGGAATGTGTTGATGACTAGATCTTTCCCTACTTACAATAACTAATGTCTTTGCCACTGAAAAGCTCCAAATAGAAAACACTTCGATCATACTGTCAACCAAGTGGAATGAAATGATCTTGGAAATGTAATAGAGCCATTACATTAATGGCTCTGAATACAAGTCAGTCATATATTTTTGTTATAATAATTATTTGTTTATTTTCATATATATATATTTATTTATTTTAATATGGCAAACAAAATGGAACAAAACAAAACAAACCCAGGTTTCATTAAAAACTCTAACTTGAAAGTAACAGAATATATTGCCCTCAAGCATATTGCACATGCCCTTAATGAAATACAAGTGGAATTATATTATGGAATACATTGCATTCAATAATTTACACTATCCCTTTCATATTAGTTTGTACACAATTGCTAAACATGAGAAACTAGTACCGTATTTCAAATTAAATAATAAACAAAGAATCTGTTATTTTCCAAAGCCACAACTTCAAAACACAATATAAATAAATCTCAAGCTGAAGAATGTTATCACATCTTATAGCATAATCAACTGCTTTCACATGTTACATGCAATCATACTCACGGGGTCAACGCTATACAACAAGTTGACGATTATGGTGTATATTTTTTCCCCTCGTTATCTCTTCCCGCTTTTGCAGCCTGCATCAGATCTATTTAGGTAATATGCCTATTTTTGGTCTGTTAAACCGCACATCTTGTTAAACATATAATAATTTATATTCACTGATACTCTCTTGCAAGACTCTCCTCTGCAGTACTGCATATAAACACTAACAGAGGTCCTTTCATTCCTTGCCTTGTTAATAATGTGCATCTTGAAGATCTGATCTCAATGTGGAGTATTTTTTTGCAGCATCTCTCTGTTACTCAGACTCTGTTGCTATACCACATGTCAAAAACATTTTTTTTTAAATCCCCTCCTATCATTTCAATAACACAACACCTTAAATGGAACTTTAACAAATGAATTTGCATTGCCTGTTTTTACTTAGCCTCCCTTGATAAAAAAAAAGGAACAGTTGATGAATATTTTACAAATGAACAGAGGCCAATACAACAAATGACCGATTTGTGATTCAATAGCCACCCTACGCATTGGTTGCCATTTGTATGGTGGAACCAAGAAGTACCAAGAACTAAAAATGATTACAATTTCATTCAACTATGATACCATTTTCAATTTGCATTTCAGACTAGCACAGACACAAACAAACATCATGGACAAAAACAACAACAGGGATGTCTGGACAAGTATTTGGTTGTTTGTTTGGAGAGGACAACATCAAAACAAAAATACATAATGCTGGTTCAAACCCCTTGCCATCCTGGCTCCAGGAGACTGCTGCTATTGGTGGTGGTGGATGGCGCTGCTAGTGCTAATGATGACCATGGTGGGAACTGAGACTGGTGATCATTTCTCTGTAGCATATTCCAGCTCCATTCACTGGTTCTCAATGAGGCTCTGAACTCGGTGTACCAGCTCCCTGGCTATCTTCAGCACAGCTTTGGCATCGTGATGCTCAGCCATTTCTGTAAGAATGGATGGCGAAATATCATAAGAAATGTGAACGATAAAAAAACTAAAAACACCTATGGCAACAACAGTATTGTTCTACAGTAATCACACTTATCACAATATCCTTTTACAATATTACATGCCTAATGACACTAGACGTGAAACTTCTACTGTTTAATGATGATTGATGATGATTGTTTTACCTGACTGCCCAGAAAGCATGTGTATGCTTGTAATTAAACAACCAGGGGACTGATGGCTGTATATCATCTCTGAGGGACTTGGTAATGAGGATTAAAGCCTTACAAAAGGGCACGAGCGCATTTACTTGATTTCGAGCCTGGTGCCTCCCAGTTATGAGCCCACTGCCCTATGACCAAGCCATTGCGCCTCCTCTACAGGAACCGCTAATTGGCCTTACTAGCACAAATTGACTAACTTCGACCCCAACCTCAACATCATACCTCTCCCTACATCCTTATCTTAACTCTAAACCTAACCTTAAAAATCTATCGCAATCCAAACCCAAACCCACGACATAACCCTGTTTCACTGACGAAAGAAAGGCATAACCTAAAAGGTCACTGCTGCAAATGTCTGATCACGCATGACAGTGTACACGTGGTACAGGAAATAATGGAACGGGTGAGTCTGGACAGCTTAGAGACTGAAGAGTTCAACATGTCAGTCCAAACTCAAGATTGATGGAAAGAAGGTGGACTTTGCCAGAGATCACATATCACCTGCTCAAAGCAAGACGAGTATCACAATCATGCCAAGTGTTCAAACACTTTTATGAAGAGAGGTCCGATTTATCACAGCCAATCCACACAGTATTTGGTATAGCGCCTTCACCTTGCATTTACAGAGTGCTTCACAATCTTTCTCAGAAACATAGTACACTCCTGTCTATAAAGACCAACCAAGGGAGACAAGATAAGTCATTTTTATAGGCGGGTGGTCTTTATGAACAGGTTCCTGTAGTACATGTTTCAATGAGAACAAAAATGTGGTCTTTCTATATAGGTGGTCACTAAAGCAGGTTTGACTGTATAAGGACGCTTTAAACACTAAAAAATCACCAGATGAGCCACTTACCGTTGAAAAACTTGATGATATCAGTAAAGTCCATGTTGTTATCCAGGATGATATCCCTGTAGTACTCCACCAGGGCTAGGGCTATGAAGAGGACCATCTGACCTGAAGCACAGTGTTTGGCTGCCCAGATCGTCTCCCATACAGCAAACGTGTCATCATACACCAACTCTGTGAAGAGAGTAGATGAGGTCAAAGGTTAGGGTGAGTAATGAAAACAAATTTGCATTTCAGAGAATGGAAAGTATTGTCTAGTGGAGTTGTTTGAAGAAAAAAGTAATAACAAATTTAAAATTCAGATTCAGATTCAGATTAATTTTATTGGTCCATTTGGAAATTCAGTTTGTCGGCATTACATAGAGCACATGAACAAAATACAATAGAAAATATAATACACAGTAGCAAATTTACAATGGCGTAGTCAGATTGAAACACGGATATATATCATTTTTACATTGTGGAATAATATAAGAAAGTAAATGGATTTACAACAATTGAAATGTACGATTGCGTAGAATTTGGAAATATATTATTATTATTATTATTATTTTGTATTATTATTTCATATTATTTCATACTGTTCCTCACACAGAGATATGTATAGCTTGCAGTCATATCTAAAACCAATTATGGTTGGATAGAAACATTCTAGCCCTATTCTTCTTTGTATCCCTGTTAATCTTTTTTTCTTCACATCCCTCTATTTTTCTATTTCATTGTATTTTTTTTATGTCTCCCCTGACTATCTCTCAATAAAACTATCCTGCTCTGCCCCAAGGTGTTCCTCCCTATAATCTCTATATCTATCTATCTGTCTGTCTGTCTATTCATCTATCTCCATCTTTCCTTTACTCAATCTCTTCAAGCATCAATACAAACATGGTAATAAGAATTAAAAGAAGATAAGAGCGGTCTGTATAATAAGTGAACTGACCTCTCTTGAAGTCTAGTAGGAACCATCGATAGCAGAAGTAGAAGTGAGTGTAGTCACCGTTCTGATGCATCAGCTCAAACATCTCACAGTCCAAGATCTGAAATGTAAGGAGACAAACATCTTTAGCAAAGTTGTTTTCTCTTTACCCAAGAGGACACAAAATATGAGGTCAAACATTCAAACACTGAAACCAACTTTATAGTCTTGGTAAGCCATAAAAAGCTTTTCTTTAGTTTTCTTTCATTTGTAAAGATAAATAGCATGATAATTACAAATCTAATCTGATGTGAATTGTTTTCCCCTTGTATCATTGACAATCATAGAATTGAGAGGTGAACAGAAAAACTATTTCCTACCCAGGAATTTAAATAACCACATGCGTAAACCAATGTAGAAAGTGCACTTATTGTATGAAACTCTCTGGCATTAGTTTTGGAGGTTCTTTTGGGCACTCAGGTCGGTTAAGTATGTATCCATGGTACTACCATGGAAGTAGTTTTTAACCATGTTTAAGAAAAAGTTTTATTAAAACACCAGACAACATCACTTTTTCTGATTGAAATGTTTCTTACCTGAATAAGGGACCTCATGTTTGCAAAATGCGTGTCCATAGCACCACCATGAGGGAAGTTCTTTGACATGCGTTTCATCAGCTCACAGAAACAGCTGTAAGACTTCGCCTCTGTCATAAAGATGAAAAGGGCAATCATGATCAGACAGACGAAAGTTTTTATAAATGTAATGCTTCCTGGGAGAAATTTCAATTGTTTAAACATATTTGTGGCTTACACCCAGTAAATAAGATTGATTGATAGATCTGTATTGAAAAACAAGTCAGAAAAAAGCCACAAATATGTTTAAATAATTGAAGATGAAAGTTGTAAAGAATTATATGAGTGAGTGGAGGTGTTGTCAACTACTGGAAACTTCATTAATAAACCTACAATTACCAGATATGAAATTCACATTTACTTCTCAAGAGGCTATGTTGGCACAACTGCACCAAGTCCATTTGAGAATGTATGTAATAAGTTTTGAAGAAAGTCTCCACATCAGGCCTATACACCTACCTGGGCCCTGTTTCATAACACTATTTATTAATTATTAAACAAGTGTCACCTTTCTATAACAAATTTGCTCACAGCTAATCAAATATAATGATTGGATCTAGTTAGTATTAATAATTTTTATGAAGCACAGTCTTGGTCTACAGCATATAAATGATGAAATGAGTTACTGTAAAACAAGACATTTTGGGAGCAGTTCAGATTCCTAAAAGTTGATGCCACAAAATGACTGAATCACAACAGACACAACACTAAACTTTTGCAATGAAAGCTTCTCTCCATGAAAATGGGCATTGTAAACCATTCCTAAGAGTTTCTGGTTGGGTTTAACATTAGACTTACCATCATCAAGAATGACAAGAAGAGGAGCAACGAGGTCACACATGCCCTGGACATAGCCCACTTCTAGATGCTCCCACACATATGTGCACATGATGTTACGGAGCTTCTCTAGGTTTGTTGAGGTAAAGTAGTGGTAGTTACGATCGCAGCGTTGGACGTCTTTGTCAATGCGATGCAGGTTGAGACTGAAGGAATCAAGCAGCTCATTCTAGAGAAGAAAATAATACAAGTATTTAGAAAAAAAACACAAAGAGAATAATTAAACAAAAATATATTATCTTACAGTTTGCAATGTTAAAGCTATACACACACACCACTTGAGTAGAATTATCTGTATTATGAATTGGTGTTCATTTTTTGTTAGTTGTTTACAACTGAAAAAGTCAAGCAACACATACTAAGAGATAAGGCATGCTATCTACAGTAGCCATAATTAACCCTGGGGTAAAACTGGTATCTGACAGGATTTATTCCTTAGAATGCACTGTGGACTGACCAGTTGCTTGAGCTAAAAATCCTAAAGCATGTTGTGATGGTAACATCAAATAATGTGTTATGCACTATACAACGACCGATTATCATCATCATTATAATTTTTATTAAAGGATAAATTTCAGGAATTTGGTAACTCGTTTGTTTTATCCAAGGACACTGGGGCGAGGAATCATATTCCTGGTTCTAGGGCTACTCTCTCATCTAATAAATATACCATCTCTTTGACACCCATCCAGAGATGCCAACCTCTTGACACAAAAAAACAGACCGAGTATCCTAAAATATCAGATTTTGGAGAGAAAAATCAGATTTTCATGAAAAACTCGACACTAAGACTGGCCCGTCGGCCCCGTGCCACTAAAATTTCAGAATTTTTTTTGCTGGTCAAGTACGGTCAAGTAAATAAAATATTTGTTCTTTCATTAAAATTTAATGAGAAAATTGTAAAGCAAAGTTTTTGTTTTGTTTAGGTTGCGGGGGTTTACTTGTACATGTTTCTATGGGATTCTGCTGTTTTTATGGGGTTTTAGGTTTATTTTTTAATATTTTTTTTAAAGATGAAAAATCGTATTTTAAGAGGTGATATCATATTATTGTATTTTACTCTTATTATCATACTAAATCTGGTTGGCATCTCTACCCATCTACAGATAATTTGATCCTAAAAGGTACTCACAGAGTAGACTCCTCCATTAGAGGATGCGGGTGATGCGGTTGCCATGTCAGCCATGAGATGACAGGAAGAATCCGGTATGTTGAGCCCCTTCATCCCTAGGACTGGATCCGCACTGCTCCTGCTAGAGCTGACCGTCCCCTCTCCATCCTCGTCCTCTTCCTCCTCATCCTCCTTTCCTTCCTCTCCTGCCTTCTCATCCTCCTCCGCATCGTCGTGGGACTTCCCGTTGACAAGCTCGACGGTGATGGCCTTTCCGTCTCCGTTCCTAGCGATGACCTCAGGTCCACTCCCCTCCTCGTCTGCTTCGTTGATGTGAGATTTCTTGAGGACATCGATGTCTTCTGCGTCGCTGCAGATGTCACCGTTTTGACCTTCATGAATGACCTTGGCAAAAAAGATTACATGATGTGATTTACTTATTTTGATATCATATTTACTGAAATATGTTTGCTTAACTTACAATATCCCTTAATACCTATAAACACACAAATTTGCTATATCAGGACAATTTTCTTATTCCTTGTTTTGAAAATGATGGATTTCGTCCAATCAATTGGGCCTATTAAACTGCTTATCTATACCAGAAACCTTCAACAACTCCTTATTATAAAAATGTAGTCCCACTTGACAGAACTGCAGTAAATGGGTGCCTAGTTGATAGATATTCTTTGAATGTTCTAAGAACCAAGTATGGCCACTTTGCTAATGCTATAGTCATGGTAATAGGTGCTTGCTTTACAGGGGACCAGCTGTTAAGTTAAAACTGAGTTAACTTCTGTGTGGACCTCGATGTAATTTCCCCCCTCTCATGCTCTTTAATCCTGAACAACGTGAATATCTGATGTATAGGTTTACTTAGATGGGGGTGATTCAGTGCCTTCTAACGATATAAACTCTATTTATTTGTTTTCATGATTGCTTCTCACTTTTTCCTCTGGACTAATGGAGCAATCATCTTCATTATCAATATCATCAAGAATATTACCTCTCTAGAGTCATATGAGTAGGATGACGATGCCAATCTTGAACTGTGTCTGCTTGTACTGTCCGTGATACTGGATGCATCTCCAAATCCTTCATCACTGCCGGGAGGTGACATCTTACCACCGGTGATGACCTCACACGGCACGTCTCCACTGACCTCGCATGGCACATCTCCGCTGACCTCGCTACCAAGGCTCCGCCCAGTCTCTGTCTCTAACGTGTCCTGGCGCGGACTCCTACATCGACTGTAGGAAAATGAAATGAGAAAGAAACTTGTTATAGAATAAGGCAAGATATTCATAGTTGTGGCAAGGAGACTAAATGTGAATTCAAAAGAATGCACTGAGCCGGCCAGTATTTTTCAGGTAATTACCTCAATCATTTTCACAGCCCTGAAGACTACCCCACATTTGATCCGTCTCACATGGGGGACTACATAGTTCTCTTAAAAAAACAAAATTCCTTCTATGAGTCTTACTAGGACCAACCATACTCAGAAACCTCTACATTCTGCTAGTCTACCTTAGGTCTAAAAAGTCCACCCTCTGTACAACATACTGTTCTAAACTCTATCCAGGAACAGCAGTGCTTAGAGACTTTTATGCTCTGCTAGCCTACCTTGGGACAAAATAGTCCTACTAGACCGCATAGTCCTTTTGACCTACGTCTGACTTTTATTTAGACTAAACAGATACATTCTATCTTAACTCAGGAACAATTAGTGATCATCCTGAAAAAAATAATCCTGGTCTAAAATCTATTTAGGACCAGCCAACAGTCTTTAAAATATTTATGTTTTTTATACCTGAATCTACCTTAGGACCACATAGATCCTCTCCTACATAATGCCTGTTTGAAACTTTAGAACAAACAGCTCTCATATACCTTTATTCTCTGCCAACCTACTCTAGGACCACAAAGTCCTCTTTCTAAACAAAGTCCTGTCCTAAACTCACAGACCTACATAGTCCACTAACCTACCTTAGGACCACATAGTCCTTTTTCTGAAAATATTCCTGTTCTTAACTAACAGACCTCCATCCTTCACTAGCCTACCTTAGGACCACATAGTCCCTTTTCTGATCAGTCCTTTTTCCGAACATATTCCTGTTCTTAACTAACAGACCTCCATCCTTCACTAGCCTACCTTAGGACCACATAGTCCTTTTTCTGACCAGTCCTTTTTCTGAACATAGTCCTGTTCTTAACTAACAGACCTACATAGTCTACTAGCCTACCTTAGGACCACATAGTCTCTTTCTAAACACAGTCCTCTTTCTATACAAAGTCCTGTTCTTAACTAACAGACCTCCATTCATCATAAGCCTACCTTTGGACCACATAGTCCTCCTTCTGAACAAAGTCCTGTCCTTAAATCACAGACCTAAATAGTCCACTAACCTATATTAGGACCACATAGTCCTCCTTCTGAACAAAGTCCTGTCCTAAAATCACAGACCTAAATAGTCCACTAAGCTATTTTAGGACCACGTAGTCCTCTTTCTAAACAAAGTCCTGTCCTAAACTCACAGACCTCCACCCTTCACTAGCCTACCTTAGGACCACGTAGTCCTCCTTCTGCACAAAGTCCTGCTGCTCCTTGGTGAGATCAGCCTGGTCTACCTCCTGGATCACCTCTCCGCTCTCAACATACTCATCGTTATCGTCGTCGATCTCGAACACCTCGCTGTCCAAGCTAGGATCATGGCCTAAATAGACAGGAGAAAAGTTGATTTAAATACTGTCATATTTCAATACAAGACTATCCAAGTAAGGTGTTTTATACAGTAATGAGATAATCATGAAGAGCTTTCAGTAGCACATCTGTGAAACAATCTAGATATTTTTTTATCCTATAAAACACTGTATTTGATATTGCATTCTTATGGCAGGCAGAATTTCATTTTTTTTCTCTTTCTTAAATGTTGATTTAACTAGAAATTTCCATTAACATTTAATACCTAGAATGGATTCTAGGTCCATCCATCAGTCCATCCCCACATTGTTTTGACTCATCCCCATGACTCAAATAAACCTGTAAATTCCACTGCAGAATAAGGATACCAGTAAGTAACACTTTGTACCAGCATAATGTGTCACGCATAGTTCACTTGCACTATAGCATTCATAAGGCTTCTCCCAGTGACTGGCTACACATGAAATTTGAGTGACAAGATTCATCACCTCGTTTCTATAGGTCTACCATCAGATGTGCTTCCTTTTATAAGTCGCATAGTCTGATCCTCATCTGCACTTAAAGCTGAAATATTGACCCTGTCTGGTGCTCGATCGACAGCTCACCCATGATATAAACCTTTTCACTTTACATGGTCAAAAATGTTATGACATTCTTGAATCTTAACCAGTTGCCTTCTGAATTCTTTAATTCCCAGAGACCGATTCCCATACATCTGAGTGTAAGCACCAAGAAAATCAGTGAGAAAATCTTTTCTATGACATTCATATGTTGCAAGCCTGAACTTCTTATAGCCAGGGCCCTGTCTTACAAAGAGTTGCGATTGATCCAAATCAATCACCAGTCATCCAATCGATCACAAGTTTTCAGCCTCCTATCTCTTATGTACATAGTCACGATTAATATCAATCACAAATAAGTTGCGATTGATATCAACTCTTTGTAAGACGGGGCCCAGATCAGACAAATCATACTTCTCGTGAAATAAGATTTTTCATTCAGTCCCACCTACTTACCTGTGAGTGGTATCTGCCCCTCTGAACTATTTTCCGATGACAGTTTTGCCTGCTGGTTATCCTTATCTCTTTGTCTTATGATAGCTTCAACAGCCATCCACTCAGCCAAGATCTGCTCGTAATTCAACCTGACGCCCTCATCAACGCCGCTAAGCTCCTCTTCTGTTGAGTTAAACTTGTAGTGACCCAGTAGGTATGGCCAGACCTGAAAACAAATACAGACCAAAATGAGAGATTTGAAAAAGAAGTCGCACAAACAGCCTCATCAACCGCGCTACACTCTTCGTAAAGCTAGACCTAAACACAATTTGAACCAAACAAAGAGATATGAGATAGAAACCACACTCTCTTCTGTCGAGTTAAACTTGTAGTGACCTAGTAGGTACAGCCAGACCTTAAATCAGAGACAAACATTTAAGGAAGGAACTATACTACAACATGCATCTTTCCTCATTGTCGTAATAAGTGATGTTTACAATTACAGATCAACGAAGTGCAAAATTTTCCTTCATCACTGTTCACGAGTAAGATAATACTGTACTACCATAATTCCACAATAATGCAGTATTGTGTGTCTCTTTTCATCTCCACATCAGCAGCAATATGGTATTCCATTTCATCAGCAACATTTGGGTCATCCAGCATGCAATGCACATTTCAGCCGAGAGGCAAATACTCGGACTCAAACCTCAGCTTCATTGCAAAGCTGAAGTTGTAAGGTATTTTGCACACACTGTTGATATCTGCCAGGTATGAGCCAGTAGGTGATCAGTAGATGGTACAAATGTCTCAAATTTGTGAATACGTGTGTACCTGTTTTGATGGACGCGCTACCTGTTAAACAACTAATATCATACTGACGTGTTCACCATGGTGAGAACACTACGACAGCATATAGAGTTTATTCTTACTTGGTATAAATTCAAATTGTTGAGTGTTTTTTGTGACCAAAATTTATATTATGTCCCAGCAGGTATAAAAGCTGCAAAATAGCCATGAAACAGCAGGAGGCAAAATACCATATTATTTGGTTATACACGTTTATATCTGCGATTATATACCTCACTTAAGAAATCCAGCCATCTGATTGGTCGAATTGCATTCATAAACTTCAACTGTTCCTGTAAAATTCTCGGTAACCATGCATAAAACATTTCAATATTTTTAATAACCATGGTTATTAAAAAAAGTTGGTCAGCGTCCATGGTTACCCCATAGGTTTACATGTTAAAAAATGGTTTGAGCGATGGAGGATGCCGTATGTGTGCGAAGGATTGGTCGGTAATTTCAATACAATTGAATCTCGATCGATCTTACCGACAATTTTATCTTGCATTGTTGACATGAAGACGAAAATAAACTTCCAAAAACAAAAAAACAACATCTGCGGATAGATCTTGATCTAAGTTCGTGCCAATATGCATTGCAAAAGTAAAAGAAGAGTCCGTATATGGAGCTTTTGCGAAGCATTCATCACACGCGAAGCCGGTTTCAATCCATTTTAATGTATATATTGGAGAAAACTGCCAAGCATGTTAACGGCGGGCCATAGCCGAGTGGTCTAAGCGTTGGTTTTAGGTACACCTCTTGTTGTACGCAAGAGTTCGAACCCCGTCTTCGACGAAATTGATAAATATTTTTAATTTTTAATTTTTTAGTCTATTTTTTTTCGGCATATAAAAGTATTAATGACTGCTTTAATATTCGAGAAATAGTTGTTTTCATACGCTCTCGGGAAGGTTAGAATTGGGCTATTCCCCTCGGCAAGCCTCGGGGAATAGCACAATTCTAACCTTCCCTTGAGCGTAATAAAACAACTATTTCTCTCAAAGCAGTCATTAATACTATACTACTGGTAGAATAACCTTAAAATAGCAGCTACATTTGCAGCTTATGAATGGACAGGTGGCACATACATGTAGAGGTATGAACAGTCCTTATGCAATAAAACCAAGCAGAGAAGAAAATCTAAGCAAGAACTCACCTCTCTCCTTATCTCATAGTCATATGTTTTATTTGTTTTATGACGTGAGTTTACTAATGACCGGTCATTATCAATACAGAGAAGACAATGTAAGCAAGTGCTTAGAACTCACCTCTCTCCTAATCTCGTGGTCCATACCGCCAAAATATATCAACCTCATCACCTCCCCCTCATCGATATCCTCCTCCATGGTGCAGAGCTCCGCCCACTTCTCGCAGGTCAGCCCCGAAGAGGCCTTCTCTGTCAACTCGTTGGAGATGATGACTGGGTGAACCAAGCCAGACAAATGGGTTCGGACGGTGCGGAGGTGTCTGCAATGGGCCAACCCTAAAAGGAAGAAAAATATTGAGGACAAAATACAGTCAAACCTACATATTAAGGTCAACCAAGGGAAAAATGACCACTGTAGACAGATGGTCTTTCTGAACAGGTTTTACAATACACATTCCTTTCTCGAGGAATACAAAACATGGCCACTATAGAGAGGTGGCATTTATAGCGCAGTAGACACAGAGACAGATTAGATAGTACATGTATAAATCATGGTATGTGAGCCAGACATGTATCAATCAAACCTGCACATTTAGGTTAGGTTGCTTTGGAAATTCCATGGAAATGAAATGACATAAAAAACTTTTCTCTAACATTAAAGATGAAGTTGAGTTCTGGTCATGCGATTGCATTATGAAAGAAACGGTGTGGAATCGACCAGAAAAGGTTGATCATCTAGCATACAAGAATTTATTTGTATTGCAAGGTTCTGGAATCATCAAAATGATAAGAAATGTGGCCAAGTCTTGGTAAAGTTACAAACACTTGCACAGAAAGATGTATATGGGACTACATGAACACGTTGCGTAAAAAGCCGCCCCCCCCCCCCCCCCCCCCCCCGATTTTTACGATGTTACATGCATATTTAGAATATGAAGGCATTTGAAGAGCCATGCTTTTCAGGGAACATGTCTTAACTGATGTTCTTCCACACTTGCATAATAAGAATGAGTAATGCTCACAAATTATTTTTCACCTCTTCCCAGAACTCAACCTTCTTTTTAACATTAATTATCAGAACTACCAAAAAGATAAATTTTTATCAAGATTAATTAGACAATTAGTTGTAGAAATGTCCATAAAACATTTTATCTTCATAGCTGACATATTTTCCAAGTACTGAGGATTTAACTTGTGGTAATGGAATACATGGTCAAGTTAGTCTGTTACAAGATAAAAATTATCTCAACATGCAGCATAAAAATATGGTAGCTACAGTATGAAAAACGTTATTTCTATGGACACCTGGACTACTGATGGCTATTCGATCATAATGAAAATTTGTGTGAGTGATCTTTTATTTCTGTTAGACAAACTGAAATGTTGAGAAAGAATGTCTTTGTGCAATTCTTTTACTATAGAAATGTCCTGGATTACTTACAACCATAGAATGCTCTAGATATGATCTGTCGTCTCATCGTATCACAAAGAATTCTGATCGATGATCTGCACGTTCAAAAGGAAATAAAAAAAGATGAAAAACACAAAATTAGACAATTTCAATATCAATAAACACTTAACTTTTCTCACCTAACTGTTCTCTTTTATTTCATCTTTGGAGTTTGGGCATTAAATTGATCTCTGTAATATATACTTCCATGCATCTACTTGCATTGTTTTAGATTATTTATCAATTTTTCACTCTAACCCTTTTCAGAATTTGAATTAATACTTGAAATCCTAGGTCTTTATCTTGCTCATAATAAAAAGAAAATTTCGAAGACTACTAACTCAAAAAAGATATACAGAGAGCAAAGAAAACACAAAATAAAAATGTTAAATTGTTCACTTTACAGATCAAATGGAGCTTAACAAAATGTAGAGGCCTGTAAAACCATGATTTTGAATTTAAAAAACGCATCTGGCCATTCAAGGCACTAATATCTTTCAGCAAGACATTAAATCTACATTTGCCACTCTCCGTACAGGTGTAGTATCTGAGTACCTGGTAGGAATTCACCCTTCATTGCTTTTAGCACCTTGGGGCAGCTGGGCTAAAGCCATGTTAAAGATATTACTCTGTTTGCGCTTTGAGCATGTACTGGGACATGGATACGTGTGCAATGAGTAGCTATTATTATTATTGTCATTATTTTTCTAACCAGGACAAGCATACCTGTACCTCTACCTGTGAGTACAGAAATCCTACATAGATGAAAAATGGTTGTGAACTAATCAGATATGGTTAATAAAAAGCTATGGTTTTACTTCCTACTACATCTTACTAAGCAATCTAATAATATGACACTTTCTTAAAAGCAAAATCAAAGTGATATCTGAAGCAACTTAAATTCTAAGAAAGCACAACAAGTGTATATACCAAAGACAGGACTGTTCACAGCACAAACTACCATCAACTTGTTTTCATTACAATTGTGACCTGCTCTGAAAGGATCCATGAAGATAAATTATGTATTTTACAATTTTTTTTCTCAATGAATTATCCACTTTTGGTGGTAAAGTCGGCTTTTGTCAAAGAATCAAGAAGGAACATGTTTTCTTTTTGAAAACTTTGAATAAAGATTTGTATTCCTGTAAAATCGTGAACTCAATTTCATTTTTACTTCTCTTGCAACAAAAGTCATCCCAGACAGAGCATGTCAACTATAGTCGTATTGGAAAAGAACATGCTCAGTGAATAAAAAAAAAACACACATCTAAGTATAATAAGATAAACATACATACAAAATCACGACAAACATACACTTTGTTTTCTAAAAAAGATGGATTAATTATTCAATTTTTGTTGTTGTTGTTGTTTATTTGGTTTATGTGAATTACTCTTTGTAAACATGTAGAGTGTGAACGATTGAATAGCTATTAGCTTCCTTGGATATTTGAAAAGTATATGGTATGTATTCCTTCAGGATGATTGAGTGTTTATGATACTCCTTGAAATGAACCGTTTAAATTTGACTATTTGCTAAGATATCAATTACTAAGTTTTAGCAAGAAACTTATATAAAGTAGCAATGATGTGAAAGAAGATTATACAAGAAATATACAAATAACTTACAAAATACAAAGCATTTAAGTTATGGTAATTCTAACTAAGAGCAAACTTTTAACACAAACAGTTAACAAGATCACGCTGCTGCTGCAGAGTTAAATAAAAGAATATTTCAAAGATTACAAATATCACTCCATGCAGTTACACTCATAAGTGAGACTACTTTAAAAAAAGGCATTACTGGAAGTTAAAACTGCTAACTATACAAATAACGTATTTATGACATGTTATGATTTTGTTCAGAATTGTTAACAAAATTAATGGAAGATAATGTGCCCCCCCCCCCTTCCTCATGACCGTTTTTGTTCTTGTTTGTATCTTCAGTTGGTGTGATATACTTGCTTGTTTAACTGTAACAGATATCAGCAACACAATGCTATAACATAAAATGCACTGACTTTAAGTGTGTTTATTATCATGTGAATAGTGAACTGCATTACAGTGAAGCTTATCATCTCTGACATGAACTGTGAATGTGTGTGTGCAGGACTGTTGTAAGAACACTAGAGATCAAGTGCAAGATACAATTAAATGCATCATCATCATCATCATCTGAGTGATAGGTTCCTATAGGCATTGGGTAACTATTCAATTTCAAAGCAGATTCATGTCAGTGATTGGATGATCACACATCTGGAATTGCAAATAATCTGGTAACCATCAAAGTGTGGTGAAGGTTAAACAGATAAAAGGAACTCAGTAACCTTTTTTCTCTTTACTTTTCTTTTCTTTTTCTTCCCAAGCGTATGTTCTATGCGCTATACTAGAATGGTTTATTATCATTATCATTATCATTATGAAAGTGAACCAACTGCATTAGATTGCAAACTGCTTTCAATCATGATGCTACATAATACAACAGTCCTATGACTTACATGTTTATGTCAGTACGCTAATGAAGACTAATGGCACTCTTCTTTTATAGACAAATGTAACCTTTGACTTCATGCCTGCTAGCTGCGTGCTAAGGTGCATATCAATCTTATAACAGTCCCGTTTAGGTTCTGTTATGACTAAAGGATGCACACAAAAACCAGGTTCTTGGAAAATACTTGACAGACCTTGGTAAAACTTCCCCCTGCTGCATCAAAGAAAAATGGTTTAAAGCCGTACTGTACTACTTGTAGCTATTTGCTCCCTCTATATAGAAAACAATGCCTAAGCGGTGCCCATTGGTCCCCCATGAGCCTCTTTTTCTTATGTTAATTGAGAGCTGAGTTGATGAGAAAGCCACCTGTCAGTGACCTTGCTGGGTAGTCTAATCCCTCCTGGCCAAACTAGTACAGACGGCCTTTAAGAGAACCAAAACTTTTTACCTGGTTGGAAGCATACATTGACTTATTCATTACCCTCATCAGGAACCTTGGCAGGGAAGATTCACCCTTTGGTACTATCTTTTTTAAATCCCTCACACCCAGTATTGACACTAAGTGCGTTATGCACTGACGACACTGCAGGCAAATGGCAGGCATGTCTGTAAACAAAGGTCACACTATCTCTACCACACGAAACAAAACTACACACAATATAAAAATAAACAGATTCTGAGCATGCTATCTTCACGGTGACGACAAACAAAGTAAGTGGTAGTCGGTGCATGGTGTGGACCGGTCCTAACCCTTGATACTGGTCCCACCTGCTGGTGATGGCCGCCAGCTCGGCCGAGGTGGGTGAGACCGGTGAGTAAGGGATGGCAGGGGGGAGCGGGACCGGGGAAGGGGACGAGCCGGTGGGACTATGGACCACCTCCTGCTGTCGGATTAGGGCGTGGCGGGGCCCGATGTCCCGGGCGGACCAGGGGAACGCGGTGTGGTGCCGGCTGCCTCCGTTGCGGACGGGTAGGATGCTCGCCTCTTCAGGGACTGTGAGGGGTGGAATGCAGAAGGGGAGTTGTAGAAGAGAATTCTACTTATTTGTCTAAGTTATGATGGTAAATGCATTGATATTGGAGACTTAGAACTTAGTCCCTAAACTTCTTTTCTACTAAATCTGAAGTTTACAATAAAACTTTCACATGATACAGCTACAAAAGTATGGATTCTTGCGCCATCTTGTGGGCATATTTTTCCAGTTTCATTCAGGTATAGCAAAGATGGGAAATTTCTGCAAGTTTTTAATGTATATTTAAAAAAGCACCAACAACAAATAAAAGTTACAAAATGGAGAATACATGTACTGTTTACTTGAGGAAGTAAAGAAGCTGGTGAAGAGATCAATGCAATGGGATTACATGATCCCTAAGTCACATCATGAAAATTAGCACCTTGAGTTTAAGATCTCCTCAAATTAATTAATTCTAACTAGGTATGGCTTGTTTCAGCTTAGGTAGAGTGCGGTTGTCATGACATATCATAAATTAATTTGTAACGCTCTGGGTACATAAAGTAATGATTGTGAAATCTAACGTCTTAGGAAATTCACATTAAGGGCCAGTTTAAGAAGTTATACTTTCTCTGGTTATTTATCCAAGTATGTATTTTTGTTTAAGATTATTTATTCCACACTGTAGAATCGAGGGTACTCACTGAACTCTGGCCTGAAACTTGTGATGATTCTGAAGACGTAGTCTGTGGCCTCGTCCCCCTCAAAGATCTGGGTGCCATCCTGCGAAGCGGCCATGCCTAATCCTGAGCTCTTGGAGCTCTTCCTCCTCAGCTTGGGGAGGACCTTACCTTTACCCCTCTGGGACCAGAGAGGGGGGTCAAGCTGGCCCCGGGGTAGGAGACCGTTCTCGAGACAGGTGAGGAACGCAAGGAGGTGGCCTCCCTTGGGGAAGTGGATGGGAGGGTACTGGACCCCATCCTGCCCCACTAGGACTAGGGTGCCCCCGCTGTCCGCTGCACCGAAGGAAGGGGAGGAAGAGCGGAGGGGAGGAAAAGAGAGGGATAGGGAGGAAGAGAGAGGGAAGGGGAGGAAGAGAGAGGGAAAGAAAGACAGTGAGAAAGAGAAAGTGAGATAGAATGAAAGTAAAAATGAGAGAGATGGCGAGTGAGGAAGGAGAGGGGGAGGAGAATAGAGGAGAATGGAGAAGGAGGGGGAGAGCGAGAGATGAAGGAGGAAAAGAAAAAATGGGAAGAAGAAGGGAAGAGAAAGAGATAAACGAGAAGGAAAGAGAGAGGAGAGGGAAGAGAGAGAGAAAGGTAGGAGAGGGAAAGAAGAAAGTTAAAAGAGGGATTGATAAGAAGAGAGAAAAGCAGGAAAGGGGGAAAGAAAGAGAGAGGAATAGAAGATAACAGAAAGAAAGCAGGAGACAAAGAAAGGGAGAGAAATGAGAGAAAGACAGAGATGGAAATTAGACAAACACTACATAAATTGGAATGCGAGACAACTTGGGTTTACCTAATGAGCCTGAAAATAGATCTAGACATGTAGGAGCCTCACAAGTGACAACATTAACATGAACTATGCAAATGTGAAACATAGATGTAGCAGAGCCTGATATAAGATAATTAACCTGAAACTGACACATCTGCTACATTTCATACTGAAGCAGAACAAAAATTCCTAACATTTCTTCTTTTAACTTTCTAAAATATCAATGGCTCATGGCACAGAAATCCCACAGAGGTTAACTTTATTAAGTGACACACAACTTTACATTTGATTAATGCGATTGCATCAATCGCTAATTTACATTAAGACGAGGTTCTAAAATTATTTTTCACTTCTCATTTGTTTAAGAGCCCCAACAATTAGATGGCAAATTTCACTTAAATTGTATCATAATGTGAAAGAAGATAAAAATCATTTAAGACACATTTCTGCAAGGATTTCCAAAAGAAATGTGTTTGAAGTCGAATATGATGTAAGAATACAAAATATAGACATTTTGCCATCAAATTTGGGGCAAATTTGGGGCAAATTTGGGGCTCCCAACAATTTAGAGGGGCTTTAAAAATATAGATGGGCTTTACAAATATAGATGGGCTTTTATACAGTACTCACGTTGCTGGTGACAATGAAGGTAAACTATGTCCTCCACATTCACCATAACAGCATAATCCCAATAGATACTGTACAGAAAAGGAAGAAAAGAAGAAAAATAGGTTTTTCGATTAGCTAAAATCATGTTAAAATGAAGAATCATATACCTAACAGTTTCTAAGGAAAATGGTGACATTATATATAAAAGAAATGATATTCATTGGTCCAGGACATTACTTCTGAATTAAATAACCACAACATTCACAGAATTTACAGAATTTGTATAATTACTCATCATTCAAAGTTTGGTAATAGATATATGTATCAGATCATATGAAATCAATCACAGTCACATCCATGCTGCTTTCTTCAGAACAATTTGCAAAAGATGAAGAATTTTGTAAAGACTTTTAAAACTTTTCCTTCTGTTTACCAGTTCTGAAATTAAGTAGAGCAAACTTACATGCCATGGGTAAATATCGTTTTTTGCAAATTATCAAATATTTATTTGGTTTAGCTCTATTCGATAGTCATATATTCACTTCTCTAAGAAATGTCATACTTCAAGAAGGAACGATTTCATGTCCTCCATTAATTATGACCAATAAATCAAATGTTATTATTGCTGCATTATCCTGGAGTAATTGTGAAATGCATTACCAATTTAATTAAAACAATTCATTCTATATGAGCACTCTCAAAGTCCACTCTTCACTCTAAAAAAAGAAAGATAAGTGCTTGATTGTTTTAGGGCTACTCTGAATGAAGATCATGGGTTATTGGAAAGGTCAAAGCCATAAAATTAGGAAGTAATGATGATGATGGGGATGGAAATATGAGAAGTTTTTAGCATGCATTTCACTTTGATATGATAAAGGTCAACTTTGTGTACATGGATGAAATGCAAAGTGGTGGTGAAACTCAGAGACCAGAATACATGAAGAAGGTATATTCTAACCCGTTGTCTAAATCAAGGTTTAAACATCCACCATCTACTGATATAAGTCTAAATTTCATTGCCCATCCATTGGATACAAGAACATGGATGTTTAAACTACGGGTTGAAATAAAACTCTTTTTGTGAATTCAGGCCAAAAAGGTGAAAAGCCTACATTTGTCATTTGTTCAGATACATCTAAAATGTATACACTGGTCACCATGGCAAATAGATAAAGGAATAGGAGAAAAAGAACATACTGCATGAAGTCATAACAAAAAAGCCCTTACAGTTTTGTTTTGGAATGCCTGCATTTACCAGGTACAATAAATCTCTTATAAAGGGGTGACTTTGTTATATGGTTTATCTGCTACTTATTTCCATAGCCTAATAATATCACATTGCCTGTGGATTCACTGTTTATTCATATCTTGTCTGTTAAAAGCCAGTAAGGCATTAACTATGTGTTGAAGTATATGAGATAACGTCCTTCTGGCACTCAACAGATGTCTGTCTGCACTATTCACACAATTTAAGTTAATAATGCTAATGTTAAGAATTCATATCAGTGTATATAAGTGAATAAATGTACTAGGGAAAATATGTCCATTTCAGACATGCAACCACGCTGTTTAGTTCAATCATTTAAGCTTTTTTTATGACAATCAATAATTTTAGTATTCACTGAATCCACAGCTTACACAAAAAGCTGTGTACCACCTTTAAATCTCTCTTGGAAGAAGTCATTTACCAAGATGTCTATCACCATCCAAAGAGAATCAATTGATTTTAAATTGGAAAGTGGTTAGTGAGGTTAGAAATGAATAATTTACCATTTTCGATGAGGCTATGGGAATTACACATCCAATCACCAGGAAAATGAAAATCTTTGGTGATGGTGGAATAGGTAATTTCATGCATATTTCATTTATATAGTCTGCGAGAACTGAAAGCGTGTTAACCCAAACATTTTACATTGACTAAACACCCTTCTGGCTCTCAACAGACATTAATTATAGAAGAATTTGAAGGAATGCTTGCAAACAAACCAAAGAGAAAATATGAAATGGGGAATTTCAATAAGTGTATTTCAAAGAGGGGTTTTAATTTTTAGTTGCAATTGAACAGAAAATGAAATCAAGATGATGTACAGCAAAACGAATGTTATCATTTCTTCATGAGCAAAAGAGAATGATAAATCTAATAACTACTACCCATGAGGTCCTTGTTCACTGTGTTTAAAAAAATGCAAGCTTAGAATTATTCAAGATTCCTACAAGAAAATGAAGGAAAAAAAGATCAGAAAGCAAAATCTGATGCTACAAAAAAGTGTACACATGATAATAACTGATTAATGAATAAAGGAAAGATGAAAAATACAACAACAAAGTTATACAAAGTTGCTATTATTCAGCTAAGTTTGCCTTTTCAAGGCTTCTTCTCTTCGCAGAAGTCACATCCCTCAGAGCAGTATAATAAAATATAATGTCAGAGAGCATATGTTGCTATATCTGGAATGCCTCAGGCAAAAGTCTGAAGTCCATTATAATATAATTCATTCAGAGAGGCCTGAAGTGACCTTTGATGCACACAAACTACAGACATGAAAATAAATGTACATGTACATACTTTTTTTCCCTTCTCACTAGGGTAGGCAAAACAGTATGAAGATTTTTTTTTTTTTAATTCATGAAACAATGAAGTTGTGCAAGTATATGACAACCATACAAGTCTTAATTCAAAGACTCATTTCATTGACTTGCTTCCTAGTTGTTATGCCAGTCATTGAAGCAACGTGTCCGACACAGGTTGATTCTGATGCAATGAAGAACGGGCCTTAAAGGGATCCAAGAACTTTGTCTCATATTCTGAAACAAAATCCTGGATTTAGCTCATGCTGCAATGATAATTATAAACCTTTAGGTCAGTCAGGAACCCCATGACTTTTACAAGCCCATCGCCTCTCTCATTATTAAGATATTTATGATTTGAAATAAAAAACCAAATTTTGCGTTTTCCTAACGGTTTTCATTACACTACAGTCTATTGGGGAAAATAAGTATGGTAAAACTGGTCACTCAAAGATTTTTTACTTTTTTGAGGCCCTTCTTGATCGTTTTGAAGCGCAATTTTTTAAGGACTTTGATATTACACCATATCACAGACACTGATATTAAACACGTAGGGCTGTGCAACTCAGATTTAACATTGTTAAACGATGCCTTTAATGAACAAGTATGCCTCCCTTCTCCTTTGCGAAGCCATGTTGTTGAGATGATTCTGCAGTGCTATAATTTGGTAACAACTCTCTGCTATGTGTGAAAACTCCCAACACCGTTTTCTAGACAGAATCAAAGGAGGCAATACCCGAGGATGATGAATACCAGATATCTTTGCAGAGACAATCAAATGTGGTTAGAAAGGAACAGGCAGTCCCTGGCAGTTTAGTGAGTAATGGGAAGGACGACCGGTCCCAGGGAAGCGAATAATTAATGCGATTGCTCAAATCCTCTCAATTAATACTGTAAATGCCCTTAGCTCTCAGCAGCCAAGCAAGTGGAATATAATGGATAATTCAGTAATTATTATTCTAAAAATGAGATTGATCAACATTTTGCATTGAGGTAGAAACAATATATAGAAGACTTTTCATTAAGTGTAGATTATTGTATTATTGTATATAATCCCTCAACAATAATATATTTAAATAAAATTGACTAGATCTGACAAAATATAGCACTCATTTGAGGCATTTGAATTTCTAAATAGAAATCTCTAGGGAACAGATATTAGAATGAACTGGAGGCACATACATATATTGTTCATGTCTTTGATGTCTTATTGTCTATATTGGTCTATTTGTTTATGTTTGCCAGTTCTTTTCCTGAATGTTACTGTGTGTATGTATGTTTTCAAAGGAGACTAACTATAAGTTATTTAAAAAATCTGAATATACTTTCAATTGTGTTGATTACGGTATAAAACATTACCGGGTAATGGGTATCTCTAATCAATAAATATGATCTACATTTTTCACAATATTATCACAAAAGGTCATCAATTTTTTATCAGCACATCTTAATCAGCATCAGTAATGATTGTAGCGCAGCAGACAACAGTACATGACGTAACCATAGACGTCACAATGTGGTATGCATCATTTTGAAGCGTCATAGTACGTGTTATTGTTCTCACCATTCCATGTTGTGTAACGATGGTTAGGTATGATAAAAGAGAAGCATAATTAAGTGAAAAAGCAATCAAAATGTAAACATACTGCATGGAAGGTTCATTAGTGGTTTTTGTCATCAAAAGAACAATCTCTATTTGTACATTGCAGACTTGTAGGGGAAAAGGCCATCAGGCTACAGGCAGATAGCAGAGAAATAAATCTTGTCAAATACATTCATAGAAATCAGAATGTGTACTATTGTATAACATTTGATGAGGTTGACATTTAAAATCCAGACAGACCATAAAAACATACACTGGGTAAAATGTGTGTGTGTGGGTGGGTGCGTGTATGTGTATTTTTCTGTCTCTCTCCCTCTCCTTCTCTCTTTTTCTCTTCCTCTCCCCGCCCCCTCTCTTTTTCACTATATATACATGTATATCTCCCTCTCTCTTTCACTATATATACATGTATATATCTCTCTCTCTCTCTCCCTCTCTTTAAAAAAAAAAGGCTAAAAAACAAAGACATGAATTAGGGGCAAATCTTTCTTATACCACTGAACAAGCTTTTAGGCTGAAGGCTTTCTATGTATTTTCAAACAGTTTAAGATAGTTGTATATACAATTCAATCACCTTTCTTCTTTTTTTGGTGAAAATAACATTATTTACTTCCTTTAACTAGGTATAAGCATAACAAATTCATTGTTGTATCATTCTGATATCATGAATCCTCGTTTCATATAAGTTGTTCTTGAAACCTCTCAAGATTACCCAAAGCTTACCCTGACAAACTAATTATGTAAATAACCTGCATTCTGATGTTTGAAGTGCTGTGACTCGCATCATGCAGGCTAAATGATTTTCCATTACTTTACTATAGTACCCACATATATAAGAACCACAATGGCATTACATCATATGAGAACGGTGAGATCGCACCCCTCTGGCTTTCAGCAATGATATATCCAGCAACATTTAGCAGATAAGGCCAAACCAAAGAATGAATTAGTAAGTAATGCATCTACTTTCATAACTTGATGTGGATATGAAAACATAAAGGTACGTTGGCAAGCGGATAAAGCTTCTACCGTATATCGTGTTTCGCATCCTCTTCTACAAGAAATTACATCTATATTATCTAATATCTATAGAAACCATGCAAGAATATTTGTTGCTTTACAGTTAGGCAAATACAGTTAGCAAGCATGTATTCTGAAATGTTCATAACATTGCCTTATTTTGTATATATGCAGCACCGATTCATTTAGCATTTAGCTTGCATCAGAGTATAATTGAATGCATTTTGCCTGCATCAAGGTGCAATTGAATGCATTTGCCTGCATCAGAGTACAATTGAATTGATTCTGTTTGCATCATAGTACAATTGAATGCATTTTGCCTGCATCAGAGTACAATTGAATGGATTCTGTATGCATCAGAATGTAATTGAATGCATTTGCAGGTATTTGAGTATAACTACTTGAAGTTTGTATTACGCTTTAAAAAAAAATATATACATGTATTTTATAGCATTAGATTCATAAATGACTAGATCCACAGTTGTCTTGCAAATTTCCTAAACCAGCAGATTATTAAAATTTTAAATCAGCATGGCTAATCCTACAACTAAGATTTCTTTTATTGCAAAGTTCAGAATCTCAGTGAAATCATGCATAACTACGCTTCAAATGTACTGATCAAAAAGATATAGAGGTTAGTATTTGGCACGATAATTCAAGCAAACCAACACACACAACTAAATACAACAGACTAAAGGTGCAGTTAGTAAATGCAATATAAGGTGTAATACGATTAGTGCACTATAGTTGCGGCAATATAACTAGACTAGTGACTAGTGAGTATTTGTTTTGCACTGGGTGTAAGTGTTAGCAAAAGTGAAAACAAACATACGTGTGGTCAATTGTTAGGGCTGTGCAAGTGTATAGCTAGGAATATTGTCAGAGGAAAGCCAGAAAGGGGTTAACTCGCACTCCTAACCCTTTCGCGACAAGCGTTCCACATTTTGTGGTTTGGCTCAATATACTAGATGCATGATTACAAAGAGCAAAATATCTGCACATACTACATCCATTTTTGTTTTATAACTATCTTGTGTTTGATGTCAGGAATTTTAAAAAGGAAAATAAGCTTTAAAATGGTTAAATTGGCAACTCGTTGAGATATTCAAAATCATCCCCATTCATGTATATTGCTTTCAGAGACATTTCATTGCAACAATGTATCAATAAAATAAAAATATTATTGTTGCCAATTTGAAGGACAAATTGTGATCAGTTTTGCCCTAAAATTAAATCCTGTCCTGAAAGGGTTACAGTAACATAAACTAATAACCTTCTGACTCTCAGCTGACAACCTGTTCTACACTATGCAAAGAAATAATATGTGCTACTACTACTTTTAAAAAGAAAGCTATAGGCCTATCATCTAAAGGGTTTTCAGAGAAAAATGTAATTGAGCTATAAAGTTACCGGTATTCAACATGATTACATGAGTTTAGAACTCCCTTTACCAAATTCTCTCAATCCGATATTACATTCCAACAAATTTAATTCGTAAAATGTAAAAGAGAGTGCTTGAAAAGTTTATACCCATCACCTTTTTTCATCTTTCATGCAATGAGCTAAACCAGGAAAGTGCAGGAGACAATATTCTCAAAGTAGTTAATAACATTTACCCAAAACCACCATCTTCCAACTTCAAGAAAGAGTCAGGATACCTCCACCAAAGTATAATTTTAAAAATCCAGAATATTATAAAATTCATAATCCCCAAACCTTTATCATTTCTTTCAAAAGTTGTGATATACTCACGGTTTCCTTCTTCCATTCTTTAATCTCGTGATGATAGAATCAGAACGCCTAAACATTGAGGAAGCAGGGGTTGAAGGGACATATATATAGAGATATAGCACATTTAAAACAACAACAACGGGTTACCATAGAAACACTAATGGCATTGGTACATTCTATATGACATGCATGAGGTTCAGGTGGGGGTAAGGTGGGGATAACATACTGAATCTTTTTGCCAAGCCCAAATTTTATACTTTTGGATCTCAGCAGTATCGGGTGTTACATAAAATGATTTGAATGTTGTTTAAACACAATTTTATTGAGTTATAAAGAATAATATTCCAGTCACACCAACGAGTTTGACATCAGATCCAAAATAGCCCAAACAAAATTACACTATCCTGGATGACAAAGGGTAAGTTGTTTGGGGTCAGTGTACAGTGTGACTGAGGCATGGGGGAGGGGGGGGGGGGGGGGTTGTTGATAAATATCCCCAGATATAAAAGGTTTTCCCTGCTTAAGATCAATGCCAGGTCTGCCATGCATAATCAAACAGGCACAGCAAAATGAAAATAAAACAAAGCAATTAAAAACAGATACACCGCTGCTCACTGCATAAATTCACAAATATTTCAAAATGAAGCTGCATATCTCATTTTCAGCACCCCCCCCCCCCAATTCAGAAATTACAAAGTTCCTTCAGCACATCCATGAGTTAGATCTTCATTGAAACATACAGAGAGACTACGGATTTAGAAATAGCTCTCTGTTCGTATATCTATAATTCATATCTTTAAAATCACATCTGAAAAGACTATTGTTATAAATCATGATGCTGTATAAATGGATTACACTTACATGCATAAACATTTCTATATACTTTTGTTTACTTCACACAACATTCTAGGCTTGTGAACAGGACAATCAGATATGATACTTAAAGAATGAAGCAAAATGCTGCAAACGCATTTAGCATCATACCACTAGCATTTTGAGATACATGTATCTACAACTCCATAATTTTTTGGCATCTGAGCTACAGTTTTCAAGGGTTAGAAATAATCTATAAGGTAAAAATTGAATTTATGTTGACAATTCAGCAGAGGCGATTATGCAATAGCCTAAACATGCAAGCACCTTCAATACATTTGTGAACTGGTCTACCATCTAGTATTAAAGCAAGTCATATCACAGCAAAATAATAGGGAGAGGGAAATGCACACAAAAATAAAAATCACATTTCAACAATTTAAAGTCACACATCAAACATAAAATAAAATAATTTTGTAAATCAAAACAAAGTAGGAAACCTAAAGGATAAACTTATAAAACGGCACAAGTGTTATCGCGCAGTAATATAGATCATGCAAAAATTGCAGAATTTGTATTCAGACAAATTTTCCCCTTTTTGTTTGAACATTAAACTGTATACTCTGTAGACAAGCAACAACAACAAAAATGACGTTTTTATTACATTCTGGAGTTTTGTCAGAAGTGACTACCAGTAGGCAACTACCGATAAAATGACGATAAAGCCAAATAAAAAACCCACCTCTGGAGAGTGGGTTTGTTTTAATGCTGGCCGAAAATCCAACGGTTTTCGCAGTGTAAAAGCTCACTCTCAAAACACCGGTAAATTATTCATATTTTTTTCGCTTCCATGCTCTCTCATGCAGAGCAGCAACAAGTGGCACATGCGCACAACTCACCATAAACCAGAATTATCAATCACTGATGTTTTTACGAAAGGGTTTTCCAGTAAAGCAAATGGAAGTTCCCCCTAAAATCCCCCAAATAATGTCTTTTCAAACTGGTTTTTCTCCGGTGTAAATGGCTCTTGTATGTGACTTTGCCCTGATACAAACAGAAATGAGACATATGATACGTAGCTCATTAAGCTGTCCTAATTTTCTCCTTGGGGCCACTCTGTATATATGGAGCAATCATTACCGACACATGAAAGGCTCCCTGGTGGCTGCCAGATTGGTGAAATGTTACCCAGCCAAGCTGCATCATGACTTTCTTCCATGCCTTTTTTGCCCTTTAGTTTTCAATTTGAACATTTCAAATAAAAATCAAGGAAGAGTATGGACTGCCAGACATAAAGGAAAACATCACCAAGTGATATATATTTCTCAAAAAAATTAGAGTATAACAAAAATCAGTATATAGTTTCAAGTCTTTTCAGTTATGTTGAGCAAAGGCACAAAAGCCTGTTGAGGCAAAAATAGATGGATTTCTCTTTAAACCCATTGAACATTTCTCATTTCCCTTTAAACTTATTTGTTTCTACTATATGCTAGTGCTAGTAGATACTGAATGCATGTCAACATGAGTATGAAGAAACCATCAAGAGGAAATCATCTGTTGAGAGACAGAAGGGCATCAACCTGTATGCTTTCTGGCTCTACACGTACAGATTGGTAATCAAAATCTTCTTTTTCTGCTGAGATATTCAAACATTTTCAGTTAAATTAAAAAGAGCAGTGTTGTGCTCTACATTACTCCATCTGGTAATGTCTAGTAACAAATGTCTATTTTGTCACATATATTAAAAGGTCTACAGAAGTACAGCTTCAATCAAATGAATTCCTCTAGGGTTTATCACTCTAGCGCTGCTTTTACCGAGATTGCTTCTCCAACATTTACAAAACATGGTGCACGCTTATACGCCACAATCCATTAGAGATTAAGTTAGATATAGCTGCATGATACAGAATCTTTCAATTCGGAATGCTAAAACCTAGTCATTTCATAGACAATACAAACAATTCCTGTAAAATCTGAGTTAATTATCTTTGAAGTAGGGAATATGGCTTCCAGATGCTTTTTTACAACAGAAAGTGAGTGTTTCAATTCTAAATATAGCACCACTTATTCAAATGAAGAATTTGTATTTCTATTTTCATACACATATCATCTACAATATACAAATGCCCCTAAGATAAATATACAAAGTATGTATCATCATTCCCATATTTCCATATTAATTTGTCCGTTTTGAGCCAGAAGGGCGTTATCTCCTTTTATACAGAATTAATACCCTTCTAGCTCTGCACAGGGGATACATTCATTTTGTTGGAATTATGAAGGAATCCTTGTCTTGCTACTTTAAAGTTTAAGAATGTTAAAGGTTTATTCTCGTCCTTGACCATTTCAGAAATTCATGTTCAGACATGTTCAGTAAACAATCTACACCCAGGTAAAGTAAATGGGTACCTGGTAGGAAGAGATTCCTTGATTGGTTAATTTAGCGCCCTATTATGGCAGCTCAGCTACAGCTAGGGTAATAGTATGGTACTTAGAATTAAGCGCCTTTAGAGTATATTCCTATAGTAGCTGCACAATATAAATGGACCTATTATCATTACTTGTGGATTTATGTAAATGTGGAGGGCCCCCCCCCATGTGTCTAGCCAGTTAATCAGGGCCTATCAAGAGAAATCATGTGAAATATGAGAGACATTCTCAAATCATGTTGATATCATTCATCCTGATATTGTGATTTATTATTCAATTCTCTTTTTGGACAAACAAATCAAAATATTGTTCTAAACTGAAATGAATTATCCAGATGTAGGGACTTTATATCCCATTTTCTTCTTTGCCCAAATTAGATACATTGTCCTAAACCCTGTTACCTTGTCATATGACATATAATCTCAATGATTTCGATTCTTTTCTTCTTCCTAGAATAGAAATATTCTCTTTCGTTCATCAATGGATACAATTAATAATTCAGAATTGATTTATGAGAAAAACACATGACACACTTTTCTTTGAATTTAGCATGTTACAAAGTGAACCTCTCAATTTCTTTCAGAGTATAATTTTTTTTTTAAAGAAGATAATTTTAAATAATAACGATATGTTTCTTTGATACAAAATGAACAAATATTGCTTCAATATGTAAGCAGTAGGACAAAAATAGCCTGAACATATGGTGAAATATGAATAACTCTCATATGCGCAGACAAGAAAAATATTGACAGCATTCAATGTGCTCGTGTCTAAATATAGGTACTTTTATGGCTCACTTCATACCTCCATAAATAAATTCTCCATTTTCGCCAAATGTCAGAGTTTTTTTCTCCTTTCATTCCATCACGCACAAGCCTTCCTCCTCCTCCCACTCTATACCCTATAGCCAGTTTAATAAGGTTGAAATGAAAATCATTGAATGTTTCTCATGTGATATTTTCCCTAACATTTTGTTGGTTTTTATGTCATAAGGAATTAAAACCCTTCAATTTTGAACAATTTTCAGGTTTTACATGCACTAATATTGGAGAGTGCGATTTCAATGTAAAGGCATCTTGAATGATCAATATTCAATGTTTCATATTTCATTCTTTCCGACAATTTTTTGTTTGTATTTCTTTCACTCTCTCTCTCTCTCTCTCTCACGTATGTAGCACTCTTTCTCTCATTTTCCATTCCTACCTGTGCCTCTCAGGTTTCAGCTACTGAAGAGAAAATGTACAAGAAAGTCACGAATGAATTGTTTTTAATACCACAATATTTCATTTCCAAGGTCTCTCTCCGTCTCTTGCACAAATGTTCTGAATGTCACGCACAAACAATTTGTCACATCAATTGCTTGCTCACAGAATCGCGAAAATAATAGTAAAAAGTCACGACTTTATGTCACCCTTTCAATTCATCTAAAACACATATGGCAGCTTCAATCATGAACAAATATTTACTTAAAATATATCGGCTTGAAGTCTGAAATTTACTGGTATTTAAAATGGTCAATATCAAATTTAGGCTAATCATCATCAATAGTGATCTGTCAGTTCATGACAGGTTCAGTGACCCATTAAAAATTCCATATCAAGTGTCTCTCCAAGCCCCTCTCCAGGTTCCTCGGTCTTGAGCCAACCGTTTCATCGTCTCATACCCCGTCGCTCCACATTGTGTGACTATATTAAATGAAATTTTTAAATCTTTTACATTGTGATGTTACAGACCATAAAATAGCTGCTTGTTACCCCCCCCCCCCCTTTCCCCCTCCCTCTCTCCCTCTCTCTCTCTCTCTCTCTCTCCCTCCCTCTCTCTCTCTCTCTCTCTCTCCCTCTCTCTCTCTCCCTCCCCCTCTCTCTCTCTCCCTCCCCCTCTCTCTCTCCCTCCCTCCCTCTCTCTCTCTCTCTCTCTCCCTCCCTCTCTCTCTCTCTCCCTCCCCCTCTCTCTCTCTCCCTCCCCCTCTCTCTCTCTCTCTCTCTCTCTCTCCCTCCCCCTCTCTCTCTCTCCCTCCCCCTCTCTCTCTCTCTCTCCCTCTCTCTCTCTCTCCCCCTCTCTCTCTCTCCCTCCCCCTCTCTCTCTCTCTCTCTCTCTCTCTCTCTCTCTCTCTCATACAAATCCATTCTGACATTGTCAAGCAAGAGGAGGGATATTATTCATAATTCTTAGTACAAAACAAATGGAATTTGGGTTTGATATAAAACTGTACAAATACATAGTTTTCTGTTCTTTATCACACTATTAAGAAAAACTTACTAATAAGTTTCCCTTATTCTGCTTTTAATTAATGCCAGGTGAGCTGCCCCTTTAATACTGGGGGAGTATGGTTGTATAGTGCTTTTGGTTTATTCACTAGTAGAAGTCACTTACTGAAGTCAAGATGTTCTAGATTTAGATTCATGTCTAATGGATATAACATGGGACATGTAATTTTATCTACAGTTGCCTCTCTTGACCCAGGTTTATAACAGCTACCTGGAAAGATCCTATCCTCAACAAGCATTGTTGATCGAGCTTAAAGATAAAGTTGAGTTCTGGTCATGCGATTAAATTGTGAAAGAAACGTTGTGGAATCGATCAGAAAAGGTTGATTATCTAGCATATAAGTATTGGTGTGTACTGCAAGGTTCTGGAATCATCAAAATAATAAGAAATCTGGCCCAGTCTTGGTAGAGTTAGAAAGATGTATATGGGACTACATGAGATCTGTCCCGATTTATATGATGTTACATACATGCCATATTTAGAATAGTAAGGCAATTGAAGAGTCATGCTTTAAAAGGGAACATTTTTTATTGATGTTCTTCCACACTTGCATAATACAAGGATAATGCTCACAAATTATGTTTCACTTCTTACCAGAACTCAACCTTTTCTTTAAGCCAGGAAAATAATTTCTAAAGCACTATGAAAGCACATACACGTATGTCATAGCGTGATATAGGTTTTTATAGAAAAACAAATTTTGTTTAAAAAAAATGCTGGTACATGTATATGACACTCACGATTTAGTTTATTAATTTATGAGCTGTACTTGGATGATCATTTTCATATTTTACATGTATTCTCTTTTAACACGAGCGCATTTTAATCTAATAAAATGTGCTGGTAATAATCAATATCATTTATGCTTTAAAAATGACAATGAAAGTGTAATGATGAATGACCCTTGAATCACTTTTAAAAAAACCTTCAGGGATTAGTCTATCTACTCCAGACTCCGTAAGCAAAAATACCATTCAGAACAGGGACAATAACACACCTTTAAAATTCAAATCAGGAAAATTCCCATTCCAGGCTAAAGCGGCATAGCATCATAAATTATCATGCCATTTCTTCTAAGAAAGTGTGGATAATAACACCTGTATTTCCCAGTAATTCCCTCATATGTTCCCATATTCGGACAAAACTCTTTGGGCCATTTGAACATGTTCAAAACAATATTCAAATATAGAACCTGACATTATAAATCTCTCCTATCCAATTCCAAAAGCTAAACATAAATTTTGACCGCATTTGCCATGTTACCCTTGGAACCATTTAGATAGCAAACACGAGCCGTCGGGCAACCCACGACAGTCCATTGGTGCTAGGATATCTAGTTGACTTATTTTTAGAAAATTCCATAGGTTCCTAAATCCAGCAAACAACAATTCCCTGAATTTTGGATTTTCTCAAATAACAAAAAAGCAAAGAAAAGGAAAACACTCAATGTGCCATGATATATTGCTTTACAATGGAGCAATGGTTTATGCTCTAAAAGTCTCATTAAAATCTATGTACCGGTATATATCCTTCATAAAATCAGATCTATAGCAGAAAATATCACCCATATGTGTACAATTATACATGTACATGTGTTAAAGAAAACAGCTTGATTGTTTCAAACTCTTCATGAAACATTGCTATAAGTGCCATGGGGGGGGGGGGGGGGTGACATGCTTTCGAGTAATAGTAATTTCAATTGCTTTTGTCACCCCTGACCAGCAGACTGTATCCTTCTCTCTCTCTCCTCTCCACTTTCCTAACACTGTTTGCATATATTATGAAATTTCTATACTCATTGTGTGTTTGCTGATTGGTCAAATACATAATAATAATAATGATTAATGTAAATGTCACATAAATTTGCTATTTTTTCCCCACTTTCCATAATTGTTCACTTTCCATCTCCACCAGACCACCACAGTTTAATACACAATCACGCTTCTTGAGAAGATAATTTAGATCCCTGTTGTCTAAGATGAGGCATTAAACCTCTGTGAATGAAATGAATTAATGCCTTTCTGGCTCTCAGGCACAATATTTCTCTAAACACGTTGCAGATAGGCAGTATCACACATAAGGTATTAAAAGGGAGACTCACAAGGAGAAAGTTCATACCTATTTTTTTCACGCTTCATCTCTGAAACATAGCTTCCCACAGTAGCACAAACACACTTTTATTAAGAGGATAAACTAAGTTCTTAGTCGTGTATCTGCTGATAGCCAAAAGGGCGTTAACTCTGTAAAATGATGAATTAACGTCTTTCGGGCTCTCTTCTGGCAAGGTATTTCTCTAAAGAGGTAGACAGACATTATCAGACAGTGAGATATAAAAGGAAGACATACGTCAAGTATTGTAGGATGGACAAATAAATTCATACCTTTTTTCACTCCATGTCTCCATCCTACAATTTTCCACAATTAAGTAATTACACTTATTAAAAATATCAAAAGATGGAAGGATAGAGAAATATATTGATACCTTTTTTCACCCTCCGTCTCCGTCTCCTCCGCTCCTCCTCCATTCATGAGCTGGTTAGGAGTCCACTTGATGGTGAGATGGAGAGCCGTCTGATGTAATGACAGATAGCCTGGGATCAATGCAATGTCTTCTTTCTGTAAAAGAGCGATAGAAAGAAGAGGAGGAAGAAGAAAAAAAAGATGAAGAAAGATGATACATTTTTAATTTGCTTGATCGTTGGGGGTGAAAAGATTTTTAAATGTCATTACAAACCGTTCAAAATTAGGTAAAAAAAAGACGAAAAACAATTTAAACACCACTGCAAGAAAGGTGCGCAGTAAAAGTGATATACCGGTATCGTTATGACTTACGAGAGAGGGGGAAGAATAAAGAGAAATTGAGGGAAAAAAACAGAAAATATAGGAGATTGGCAAAAAGAGAGATATAGATATAGAGAGGGGTAGGAGCAGATGGAGATAATAAGAATGACATAGATAGAGAGAGAGAGAGAGAGAGAGAGAGAGAGAGAGAGAGAAGACTTGAGAGAAAAGATACAGAACCACAAAAGGAGACAGAGACACATGCAGAAAGAGGGAAAGGGAGGGATAACAGAGAGATATAACTAGAAAATGAGATAGGAAAAGGAAAAATATAAAGTCAGATATAGATACAATCTATTTGGAGCCTAGCACTCAAAGGATTTAGCTTTGAGTCTGACAAGCCGACAAAACATCGTCAAAATATTGACAAGCAAACAAAACCACTTGTGTTGGGAAAAGGAAATTGAATACCTGTCAAAGGGAAGTTCTTATCCAATACCAATTTACAACAAAATTACTTGAAAGTTCCAAGTATTTCATTTATCCTTTTCACTGCAAGTATATATATCATGTTCTCATTTTCAGTATATAAAACTGTAGTTGATGGCAAAGGATCTGAGACTTTAAGTCTATTTCATCTCTAAGCATTCATTTTTCACACAAATGATAATCAAAGAGGGATCAAGAACTGTGCAAGATTCCACATACAGTAGAATATATTAAGAGATGAGGAATCTTCGTAACACCATCCTGAAAGCAAACATATGGTATGGTCGTCTTCACATTGAGAGTCTCTCTCTCTCTCTCTGCATCTACCATTGAACAGGGACCAAGTGATGTCATCCCGTTGCCTAGCAACGATTAAGGATCAGATCAGACAAACACTGGCTTTTTATCTCTCCCTATGTTTGTTCTCTGACGATTCCTTGAAATATGCTTCTTCAATGGGAATATTATTTTCTTCTGGATATATGAAAAGCACAAGGAGGCACATCGATATGAACTTCAATTTCAAAGGTGCTTTTGAGACTCATTTCAACATACATGTACAGTCAAACCTGCTTGAGCGATCACCTGTATAGAAAAACCACCTGTCTACAGAGACCATATTTTTGGTTTCCCTTGAAAATGGTTTCTCATGAAACATGTACTAAAGGAACATGTACATAAAGACCACCTGCCTATAAAGACCACAATTCTTGTTCTCTTTGGTGGGCTTTGTAGACAGGTTTCACTGTACATTGTGCTGGTCCTCTGCAATGTAAAAGAAAGGGATGTTGAATTTAAAACTAACAAATGACAAACTTTAATATTCATGGGGATTAGGAGGGAAGATGGCGAAAGCAAAATGTTCACCACTAAAACATGACTGTCAACACAAAAGCAATTTCAATCCAATCTTGTGTTATTTGCTTTTAGAAATTGGTCTTGGATTGTGTGAGATGTCGGTGTGATGTTTGCATACAATAAGTGATGCACTCCGTAATATCTCATGTTTGGCAATGTGCAAGAAATGTTTGCAAAGAGTGTTGTATTCCATATCACGTTCACTAATGACATGAATGGTGAGGAACGATGGATGGAGATGCTGATGATAATGAGCATCATATTTATAGTGATGATTATGATAATAATGGGGAAAACAATGGTGATGCTGGTAATGATTGATGATAGTGATGATAATATGAAATAATGATACTAATGATAAGAGTAAAAATTGTAATGTATCATTTTTGTCAGAACCGGTACAGCTAACTGATGAATAATGCAAGTTTTCAGACATGTTTCTTAATGCTATGATAATGTTCAGGAAATTGATTTTCATTTCAACCTCAGGTGCTGAGGAAAGATGTCCACAGACGAGCAACCTGGGGATGTATACAGCTTTGAAGTATGGAGCTTGATAATCAGGACTGATGCCTTAGCAGCCAAATGCACAAGTCCTTCTATGACTTAAGAACTTGGGATCCCCTAGATGCAAAACGATTGAAACACTATACGTGAGAAGCTTGCAAATGTAGTACTCCTCAGAGACAGAAGAGACTGGAGGAAGAGAAAATGAAAGAGATAGAGAAGAGACAAACAGATAGAAGAATAGAAAGAGACAGATGGACATACATACAGAGACAGAGAGGGGGGAAGAGAATGGAGGAGAGAGAGAGAGAGAAAGAGAGAGAGAGAGAAGAGAGAGAGAGAGAAGAAGAGAGAGAGAGAAAGAGAGAGAGGGAGAGAGAGAAGAAGAGAGAGGGAGAGAGAGAAGAGAGAGAGGGAGAGAGAGAGAGAGAGAGAGAGAGAGAGAAGAGAGAGAGAAAGAGAGAGAGAGAGAGAGAGACAGAAGAGAGAGAGAGAGAGAAGAGAGAGAGGGAGAGAGAGAGAGAGAGAGAGAGAGAGAAGAGAGAGAGAGAGAGAGAGTCAGGGGGGGAGAGGGAGTAAAGAAGAGACAGCGAGACAAACAGACAATCAGACAGAGAAATAGACAGAGAAACAGAAAATGAAGCAAAGAGACGGAACGGCAGAGACAGGGAATTAAACTACACATTGCAACAAGGATGACCCACTAGTCTCCGATTCAGTTTCAAGTGTGTTTACTTTGTGGTCATGATGTGGGACGATGATCGCTATGTAGGCTATAATTGCAAACCCCAAAACTAGTTAGCAACATCTAAACACCTTCTGTACGAGCAATAGATCTAAAAACTGCCTGAACAGGTAGATACATGTATGATGTGGTAAAAGATCTATCAATGTGTTTATGGCAATTGTAAAGATCTCTTTCTAAAATAGCGACAATGAGAACCTCAATTTGGCAACTTGGTCATGTGATTGTGATGTCATCAAGATACAACTCTCTGCTTATACACTTATTTTCTGACTCCTTTTCCTGTAGGAGGTTGTGTACATTTGGAGCATTAGTACATGTATGTCATTTGTATCTAAAAAATCCTAGTGCAGAAAATGGAGAAATAGACATAATATCATTGTCACAAAATATACTAAATTTCCCCTATATTTGTTAGGATATACATTTGTGTAATAACTTATTATGTACATAAGTTTGTTAAGGAATATTTTACAATACAGCCAAAGGGCTGGAATACATATTTTGGAATGAATTAATCATAATCATCATATGAGATATATTTAATAGCCTCTAAAGACGGTGAAAAGAATTTTCCTAACTACTTTCACTTATCAGCTTTTCTGATTAGTTCTGATTATTATGCTTTCACTAAAAGCACCTTACTATCAACAATGTGTTTTCCTTTAAGCCTTGCAAGAGCTCCATATTACAATAGGGGCAATAGAACTATGAGTAAATCATTTGGTCTCTAAAATTGGACATTCTCTGTAGCAGAAAATCGCAAGGTAACTGAGACGCTTTCTAACATGCTGAACACATCAGAGCAGACGAATTGGAGATGGATCGACAACGAGTTTGGTAGTTACGGCTCGTTGCCTGTAAGTATTTTCTCTCGCGCGGAGGATCGTATGACGTCCAATCCCGTTCTTTGCCTCGTTCCAGAAGCAAATGAGGCATCGAATCCGCACAGAAAACATTCAAATGGATAAATCAGTCTGACAAGAGAGGGGTGTTACCACGACCTAGATGCCGAGGAAGATACCATGTAAGCAGTGCGAGGTTGATAAAAGTAGGTCCTGCTTAATTTCAGAGCAAATCAATTCAGACGGAAAGACAAGGTAGCGGTTTTGGTTCATTGCCTGCAAGGATTATCTCTCACATCAAAGATCAAGTAGAGCAATCACATTCTACCTCTTACTTCCAGTTCATTCCCAAAGCATTAAGACATTTAAATCCCAAACAGAAAAAAGGAAAATGGATAAAATGAGAGAGATCTGTACCCACTGCCACACTAACATTATAAAAAGCAATATAATAGAGAGATTGGCAATGTGTGATTGATTTCAATTGATTTTAAAATTTCATAAGGAAAAATTCAATACCTTATTTAAAAATCACAGTTAAAGAAAACTGACAGAATGGCTTAAATCAAATGCGACAATGGACATGTGTGCATCAATAAGACAATGTCAAAATTGCCCTTTTGTTTGTTCAAGTGAGCTTTTTTTGGAGGAAATAATATATGAAGACATTTTAGAATTCTTTTAAAACAAGATTTCTTTCGAAACTTCAAAAAAAAAGTAGTGAACAATTCAGTCAGTGGTAACAATTGATTCCCGCATACATAATTCAGTGATAAAAAAGAAAAAAAAAATCATCAACATGTATTTTCTGAGATACAATTTTTGTGTGGAAATGTCAAAAATTGTCCTGAAAATATCAAAGATTACCTAAAACTACTGTGGAACCTCATTAAAGAGAAGGTTGAGTTCTGGGAAGAGGTGAAAAATAATTTGTGTGCATTACTCATTCTAATTATGCAAGTGTGGAAGAACATCAGTTAAGACATGTTCCCTGAAAAGCATGGCTCTTCAAATGCCTTCATATTCGAAATATGCATGTAACATCGTATACAAATCAGGGGGGGGGGGCGACTTTTTACGCCACGTCTTCGTGTAGTCCCATATACATCTTTCTGTGCAAGTGTTTGTAACTTTACCAAGACTTGGCCAAATTTCTTATCATTTTGATGATTTCAGAACCTTGAAATACACACAAATTCTTATATGCTAGATGATCAACCTTTTCTGGTTGGTTCCACACCGTTTCTTTCACAATGCAATCGTATGACCAGAACTCAACTTCATCTTTTACTCTGATATAACAAGGTGAAATTGCTGGATCCCACTCTTTATATTCTTTTAATTTTTTTTTTAACCCTGATATTATATAACAGGATTCCTGAGATGACAAGGTAATCTCCATGGTTCCAAGGACCTCATTATAACAAGGTTCCACTGTATATTAGTTTACAATAATGTTTACAGAGGAATTGCATTGCTGCTCAGTCAGGCCAATATTCTAAATGGGATCAGTATAGTGTCCACCAGGGCCAAATATACATACACAATATCTCTAAGATGAATTCTTTTGACTAATCCTGAGTAAACAAAATATTTTCAAGATTTGGAGATTCTCCTCAAAATCTCACTTCTACTCATATTTATAAGGAAAAAGCACTGCCCATGACTCAAAATAATATTATGATTATAATCGGGATACAAAACATCTACCCAACATCATCTCTAGATTATCAAGATATTTTGCAAAATGTTGAAAGTCATTTTTGAAAGATCTAAAGCCGAGGTTGTTTTTCTTAGAAACATATCCGCAGTAATTTCTTGTCACAGCGAGACATCCCAGTAGAATAACACTTAACAGACAATGCAATGTCATAACAGATGCCTCTTGGCAACAAAATGTGATGTAAATATCTGGATTCATCCCCAAATATCTCACCATCGCTCTTGGTTTTTTTCTATAAGCTAAAATTTGAGCCAACATTGTCCAGTCAAAACAAGATTTCTCATGAGGATAAACAGTATAGCTGAATATTTTCTTGAAGATGCGTGGAGACATCTTGAGCAAAACAACTTCCATTCTCGCATCTTCCTCGCTCCCTCATATTTGAATTCACCCATGGGCAAGGCAGAAGCAGGAATTAATTAAAATTCAGATGCTGAACACGGAATGCCCATCTCCAGCTACATCTTCTAAATAAAAAAATAAAAAAGTGGGGATGCGATGATCACGATCTTGGCTGCATCTCTAGCATCTTCTTTGTGTGTTCATGTCCCCCTGGCAATCCAGTGGTAATTGGTTTCAAGACTCCAGACATGCAAGCGATGGAGCGATGGGGTTGTAACAATTTCATTTTGACATGCTTCTCCTCGCCATTTCTCAGAAAACATGGACGACAATAGATTGGCGTTGTTACACGCAGTACCCACATGGGTATGTTAAAGTTAAAGGCCTATCCAAAACAATGGCATAAATATCTGAATTCAGCATCCCTACTAAAAACTTAGCGAGCTGATCTGTGATTAAAATCATCCTCAAGGGCATGTTAAACCTGCCTTTGATACTAACAACATATAAAAACAGAAACATCCAAAGTAAGAGATAGATTGCCATCTGTTTGACAGGACAAAAACAACCTATGGGTAGCACATGAACTGCTGGTACAATTCATCCTTATTTCTGATATATGAAGAGTTCAACAAAGTTAGATGATGTTGGTGTTTTATGATATTAATGCAGCATTTGAATTTAGCCTACACTTTCAGAGTTTTTAATTATTGAAAAATACATCTTCAAGTTTCCAGCAAATTAAAAAATAGCCATCTTACAGAGTTACTATCACATTCAATTCAACAGAAACTCTGAACGGTTAAAGAAGAAAATAATGAAACGATTGCCATATATATTGGCCTTGCCCTCAAAGCATGGACTTTAATTTGATTTAGTGAATTAAAATTAGATTAAGCTAAATACTGACAGAACTGACCTTCTTGTATGAAATAATAGAAACTACTTCATCGATCATTATTGTCACACTTTCCTTTTCGTATTGCAAATAGATGTAAATCGGCTTTTTCTATCTGGACGACAATGTTTGTAGATGGGCATTGTGCAAGTATTCAAATCAGAAAATATTGAAAAACTTAAAAGAGGATTATTCTACCCCAAAATCAAGTTGTATATTGCTAGACAACAAATTTAACCTGACAATTCTCAACAAACTATTTAAAGACATGTAGTTCAACATTAAAAAACAAAAACTACCCAAAATAAATCATGTCATATAAATGCCACTTCAGTATGTGTCAAATTTTATAGATGTGTGTATTACATGTAACTAGCGAATTTACAAAACGGTTTTCCTTATGTTTGCAGTGCATTTTTAGATTTCATATAAAATGTTCAATTGATTATTTTGAACTTAAAAGATTCAACTAATTAAGTAAAAATTGTTTCCCCCAAAAGTTCTAAAAAGACATTGTTCTTGCCATATAAAGCACACATGTAATTGAATAGAATTGAATTAAAGAAGATGGGTCAACTTACAGGTTAAACCAAGACGTTGTTCTTGCCATATAGCAGCGTACTCCTAGAGTTCTAATTTATAAAATGTCTAAAAAGATATTGTTCTTACCATATAAAGCACACATGCAATTGAATAGAATTGAAGGAAAGAAGATGGGTCAACTTACAGGTTGTACCAAGACGTTGTTCTTGCCATATAGCAGCGTACTTCTAGAGTTCTGATGTAATGATTCCACATAGTCCCTAGCTGAGACCGGTGTCCTACAGTGCTCTTCTGGCGTCGTACCCGTAGCTGTTTTCTTGACCTAAAAAATGAGTTGAAAAACATTGAATAATGATAATAATAAGACCATGTACAGTGATTTTACCACACTAGACATTAATGTATAGGGGAAGGCAACACATCATATATTTTTGCAAAGCTTGAACAAATAGGCAACCAAAATGAAATCAGCAATACCAGCTTTATAAGAATAGCATTTACTAGACAGCAATGGAGGGCCATGAGCGCCGATGTCTGTAACAGACCTGGCGTTTGATGATGATGATGATGATATAGAGGAACAAGAGAAAATTGTATTCATTCCATTTCAAATTTATGAACTAGGTTGGCTTTAAATTCGTTCACCCCCCCCCCCCTCATTAAAGATGACAGCTGTGATTATCATTTCACAGGTCAAGTTGACCTTTGACATGGATGACAACAGAAGTACCTGTCTTTGGCTAATTAAGATTAAACAAGTATAGTGCATAATCAAACTGCACTGTAATTTAATACTACATAAACCAAATAAATGTACATTAGCCTATGTCATACAAAAAAAAAAAAAAAAAAAAAAATAGCAAGGAAAGATTTGTTCCCAGTAAGGCCTACAAAATAAGGTTTTCAATTGCCCTTTGCGACCAACCCAAAAGTCTTGCAATGTACGGTCGGCTTAAAAAAAAAAATATTACTATTTTTTAGAGAAACAAAATATTAAATCATTCAAAACTGAAAAATATCAGCCCAAAGAGGGGAAGAAAAAAAGAAAAAAGATTTTCGACCGACCGACCCATGTTTTGACACCTAAATGGCAATACAAAATTTAAAAAAAAAAGGCCTAATACCAAGAAGTTACTTCTTGCTAATACAAAGGATGGCATTTTGGCATAGGCCCCATGGCAATGATGATGATCATCATCATCAGATTCATCATCATGGTTCTCATACACCCTTTCACTACCTGGATGCCTTTGTTGACACCAATCCCTTACTTATCGTCTCCCCAGACATTGGCAGGGATACGCTGAACCTGTTTTAAACCAGGGCACACACCTTAGATTAACCTCCATAAGGAATTAGAAATTTGCTAGTCCAATTCACGGCACTTACTGGCGTTTGTATGAAGCATTCTATGGAAAATATTCTCATGTCATTACTGCACATTGATGTAATAGTACAAGTGAACTGTATTTTTCACTGTACAGGTGCAGAAACAGGTGTTTTATGAAGGGCATATAACCCTTCCCCTCCATTCTTGATACATCCACATGGCCAATCCCCTCCCTGGGCCTCGTATTATAAAGAGTTATGATTGATCTTAAGTTTGATCAATACACGGTGGGCCGTAGACTTACGCTCAATATCAACCTTACAATCAATCAAAAGGCTTTATAATACATGGCCCTGATTAGACATATGCCCCAAATCCCCCTATAACTGAAAACATTGTTGTAATGTCTTTTTTTTAAATAAATAATGTATTAATATGATTAGAACATCTCTATTTAAAAGAAAAAACATAGCTCTTCATAAAGCCTCACATCTTTGCTTATCACCTAAAAAATGTTTCAATGTAGCAATGAGACTAACAGTTCAATACCATAAGGTGACTAGAGAGAACATAAAGGTCATTTTACACACCTGTAGACCAGGTCTTCTTGGTGAATTGTTGCCCGAGGTGACCCCAGGTCCAGCGCTGTGTATCCGATGCCTCTGGACAAGCTCATCTGCAGGGGGGTCTGTCCAGTAGTGGTCAGCAGTCTTCATCTTAGAGTAGTCCAGTGCACAGGGTCCGACTGTAGTATGGCAAGAAACATCATTATGACTTTTGTTTTTATGTGTATTAAGAATATTCCACGGCATATGGGCAAACTTTAGTTTTCGAAAACAAAAACAAGAGAGCCATTAAAATGTAGTTTAAGAAGCTTCTACCAATCTTGAATTTTGTTGCGCAAGCTTTCGTCCACTCCTGTGGACTTTCTCAAGCTAAGTGATCAGTTTTCTTAGCTGAACTGCCTGGTGTCCTCACTGGACCACTAAACAGGGACAATGGGTACCTGTTGTCACCTATCTTTGGTCCAGTGATCACAGGGACACCAGGCAGTGCAGCTAACAAAACGTGACTGATCACTTACATGTAGCTTGCGCAGCAAAATTCAAGGTTGGTAGAAGGCTAGAAGCTTCAAAAACTACATTTTATCATTATCTCCAACCGATGAAAGTTTTCTGTATCAATAAAGTCATTGTTTCCCATTTAAAGTTACCCAGGACTCTCTTTTTTTTGGTCAGTCATCTTCATAGCATACCAGTAGAAAAACATTTTTTTTTGTTTTTGAGGAATTCCGTCAATAAATCTTAGACTAATAGATTTCTTTATAAAACAGAAGGAGGTAATAAATTATATCAGAAAAAAATTTGAATACAAAACTAATGCTTCAGATGTAAGCTACCATATTTTATAAGCCTAACCATTCCTTATCTGTACCCGATCTTCAACTTGCTTCTGACCCTGTTCCCAACGCATCCCTACCGATTCCAACATCTAATAAAGACATGAACATCACTAGGTCACTGCTTAAGAGGAAAACCCTCAAGGCTAGGCCTAATTCACATTCATGCACCAAAAAAGAAAACAAACATTCTGTCTGGCAGCTGCTGTGTCATTAAACTGTCATGGCGGACACATGGCCGACCGGTGATCAATATTTCCCATCGACCCCATGCCTTTTATCAAAACACGAGTACGAGGAAATCCAAATCCGGAGATGCCTCCTCCGAACACAGATGTATTGGAGCGGCGCTAATGTGATTGGCGCTCTAGTGTAATACCCCTCCCCCTCCCCAACAGCCACTGCCTTGTGCAGGGATGCCAGTTAGAATTGATCAGAGGGCCTGAAAATTACCTAGAATGAGCTATTTTGTACACAAAAAAGCCTAACTATGGTCTGAAAATAACTCGCCAGGGGCTGAATTCAGGCTATTGCCTGAAAACTGGCATCCCTGCTTGTGGTGAGGGTATAGAAGGAGCAAGCAATCCCCCCAACCCCAGTTCTAATTCTCATATCCTGCCCCTCCCATTCCCCCTCCCATCCCCAGCCACTGCATTATCATGTGTAGAATAGATGGTAGGGGTGAAGAAGCAAGCAACCCCTCCCCTACCCTTCCCCCAGTTATAATATCTTGCCCTGTCCACTGCCCTCCCGGTCCAGCTACTACCTTGCAGTAATGGTACACTGTATGGTATGGGATAAAGGAGCAACCACCCCACCCCAACAATTCCTTTGAATGAGAATGCAAACTGTTCCACTTTAATAGAAATAAAATAAAGTAAATAAGAAGTCCAGTCTCATACGGTTAAAATATGACTCTGAAGTCTTATGAGACATATTAAGCTGTCAGGAAGTTATCTGAAATTAAGATATGGAGGCGTGATTGCTCAGTGGTAGAGCAGTGGTCTTCGTAACTGGGAGGTCCTGGGTTTGTAACCAAATCGATGTTCTAGTGTCCTTATAGGCAAGGGACTAATCCTCATTACCAAGTCCTCAGAGAGGACTTAAATCTACCGGTCCCCTGGTTGCTAACTTACAATCATACACATGCTTTCTTTAATAGCAGTCAGGTAAAACAAACAAACCAATATAGGAACCAATAAAGATAGTTTAAATATCAACTTGAAAAATAAACCAAACAACAAACAAAGGACGTAGTACAAAATACACATCAATGTGTTAATGACTTTTACTTACCAAGAAGGGATGCAAGTATAGGGCCATCAACAGGGTCTGCCATAAGACAATCTTTGTCATAGTATTTACTGTCATGAAAACAAATAGGAAAGAAAAATGCTACAATCACAAGGGCGCCTCTCTAAATATCTACAACTCGCAGACAATATAAAGATAGGACTGCAAAAACCACCGTACCTTTATAATAAAAGACTACAAACCAGTCACAGATAAAGAGTTTTTTGTAAGATAAGTTGAGAATAAGTTGAATAATGTAATATCACTGCTGCCCTTGTGTTAAACGAGAATATTTTTTTCCTTCAAATTTCAAGGTAAAATTCAAAGTTGGCAAAGCAGGCTACAGGCTAGAAGTTGTATGGGTGATGATAATCTAATTACTTTGAAATTACCCATTTCTAATTATGATACTTTCTGATAGTCGAGATACCGTAGTTGTACTGCAGCAAGAATAAAATTCTGATTGAAAATCTTGTTTACAAACGTTCAGAGACTCATTCGTTAAAAAAAACTTATCTCATGACTATGTCACATTAATAATTGGCACTTTATCATGTCATCAAGTATGAACTGAAGTGTAAGATCTGAAAAAGTGCTCAGATTAAAAATTAAAACATACTGAAATAGAGAAACTCACCTTCCGGTCTGCGATACATTCTCACATATTTTGGCAAGATATTTCTCAAAGAGTGCGACCCTTATCCAGAGATGTCTCTGCTGGAGAGCTGTTCTGATGTTCTGTTGAGGTGTGTGGTTACTCGGACTCTCACCATTCGAATGTTTCCTGAGCAGAAAGAAAGGAAGGAGAGTTGAGAATCAGTCTACAATAATTGGATTCAAGTTCAATCAACGTTCTGCTAATATCAGGGGGAAAATGCAATTTTTTTTAAGGAAAGTAAACACCAAGTACTGCTGATACATATACATGTATGAGGCAGTTCCAAATACTTATGGCATTTTTTATTAACAGGTAAATTTCTTGATGATACACGTCTTCCTGATAGGAACAGGGCTTTTGAATATTTAGGAACTCGTCTGTTTGGAGTCAGAGGGCATTAACTCGTACGCCTTAACCACAGAGTTAACGCCCTTCTGACTCTCTACATGCAAAGCTTCATGTTTGTACAAGTGTGTAAATTTGATTCTTCCACCATTTCATTTCAGTGGTTTTATCATCAGGGTCTAACATGTTTGTGTACAATACCAAGCATGGGGAATTGCAGGGGGGGGGGGGGAATATGCCACAGATAAGTTCTCTCTGATAACGATACCAACAAGGGTAATAAATATTTAATTAATAATTAAATGTGTACTCTCATTAAACCTAGACAATAGCTTTTGATCGTCCAAAATCGCTTTGCTACAAGGCCATATTTCATTCAGGTTTAGACCGAGAAAAATTAATTGCTTGCTTTTAAAAGAAGCCCGGTCTTCAAGGAAATCTGAACGACCTTCAGTTTGGACTTGGACATATTCAATGATTCTCACAATCTACAGCTGACGTGCAACTGAATTCATAACGGACAAACAGACTGTTATTACCCAGTGCAGGCATACACCCATGAATATTTCACCAGAAATAGAACTGATTGCATACAACATGATGGTAATTCACTTGCTTGGAGAGTAGTTTTGCAAGTCAAATGTTCGGCAATCAATGGGCATGCACAGGGCCTTGCCGGCATGGAACTCTAAAAGTCTCAATACCCTCTACATGTGGTTCAACAATTTTAGGGTAACGGCCTAGTCCCAACGAACCAATGATGATCATGACGATGAATACATGTTCATTAAAGGTATGCATCACGGTACGATTCTTGCATGACAAAATGTTTAGGGTTATCCAGATAACACATACATATAAGTATTAAAGGTAAAGACCAGTATTGGAAACGCCCCAATTTCAAAAAATGAAATGGAAGCTCTCATTACCAATCATGTGAAAGAATATGTTTTAACTAATACATGGTGATAAAAAATTTGCCGGGAAACCACCTACTAATTCATATATTTGGTAAATTTGTTTCTCTCATGGTCTGTGAGAGATATAGGGTAGTCCCATATACATCTTTCTGTGTATAGTGCTTGTAACTTTACGAAGAATGGGCCAAATTTCTTATCATTTTGATGATTCCAGAACCTTGCAGATGCTAGATGCTAGATGATCAACCTTTTCTGATCGATTCCACAATGTTTCTTTCACAATGCAATCGCATGACCATAACTGGTCTTTACCTTTAATAATTGATTGGTTTCTCTGAAAATCAAATGTTCAGGAGATTACTATGAGGTATTATCCACAACATTTCAAATATAAAGCACCCTCAGAATATATATCTAAACACATCTAGAGAAAGATAACTTGGGCAGAATCTTTCCATGTTTACGCTTTTAAAGATATATACTGGAAGTAGATGATTAAAAAACATTAATTTTTACTAAAAGAATAGAAGAGCATACTTTTAAACCTTTAATTATAAGAAATAGGTCTAATTCACTATCAGTAAGGTACAACTAGGCTTGTACAAGATTCAAATCCATGCATGATCAGCTTACCGGTCTGGAATGGACAGGTCTTTAGTTTATATTCAAAGTGACTACTGCTTTGATATCCAGGTACATGTTTACTCCTATAAATTCATGGAAAACTAGGTTTTCACAACCGAGTATCACTTGTTAAAATCAATGCACAACAGGTGACACAAGACGGTGAGAATGTCTAAGTGCAGAGAAAGCTGTAATCAATGCAAAGTATTGATGCGACCTGAAATTAAAATCCCGAAGTATCATCAAATTACACGCTGATATCTTGAAGGTACAGTAATCATTCTCTGTCTCTCTCTCTCTTGATCTATCCTCTATCCTCCCTCTCTCTCTCTCTCTCTCTCTCTCTCTCCTCTCTCTCTATCTTTTCTGTCTGTCTGTCTCTCCCTCTTTGCCCCCCCCCATCTCATGCATCTGTTCTTGTCATTATTTGTTGTAAGTCCATGTCTTTCTATCTCTTTGTTCCTGCCACACTTTTATCCTCCTAATTAATCTCCCCTCCCTCGCTCCCTCCCTCCCTCCCTCCTTCCTTCCTTGGTACAGGCATTCTAAATTTCCAATCATGAGAGATCGATGAGAGATACACAGATATAATAGTACATTTGTGCCTACCTAAATTTGAATGAAGCAACTCAAGAATTATCATACCCAAGTAGCCCAAGGGAGATCAAATTATCATGAAACTAGAACCAGAAATAAACAACAGTGTATGTTCAGTACATGATGTATAAATGGTGCATACATGTAGTTCCCTTCCCAATGTATTTGCACTTATAATGACTTACAGTAATTTAAACAGACACCCTAACAATACACTGTCATTCATAGAAAAGCATCAAGTCATTTTGAATGTAGAGGCAGTCACGATTGGCTAATGCCCGTAATAAGGTCATTGAGCCATTTATCTTCCAATGAAAGTCGAGCCTTCTTACAGGAAACCCACAATAACACTATCGCAAAGACTCTCAAAAAAAAAATACCTAAAGCCACTTCAATACCTTTTACCATCACAACCTAAAATACGAAAACAAGACAATGGTATAATATCACGTTACACACGCATGACTTTATATATCAAAGGATAAATTGAAATTGCTAGTGAATCGAATGTCAAAAGTCTTGCGATCATGCAACGTCGGGGATTAGTTTAGACGATCGTGACAATGTCAATGAGGAACCTCATGTTTTGATCAGATTCAACTACTACATTGCCTTCAATATGGAGTATGTAACACGAGGTATGTGAGATCTAGAATTGAGGTGCATGTATGTACCTTTCTCTTTAGGCAGGAAATTGCTTTTTGTCATAGATAATTTGCTCTTTACATGATAATACGTGCCAAGCATACTGACATGAACAGTCCTGCCAAAGTGCTAGCATTAAACATGTAACATATTTGCACTTTGCAATTCAAAGATGTGGACAAGCTAGGAATGTTTATGAGATTGGATGCTTGTGAATTGAAATCTAATGTATTGAAACTAGACCATTCACATGCATTCATGAAAGTTGGCCTAACTGAGAATCGATCACACTTCTTTTGATCCTCTCACATATATCTATGATGTACGGTACATGTATTTTTACTACTTTACTTTCTACCTCCCTCGCTTCTTTCCCTCCTTCTTCCCCCCTCCATCTCCATTCCTCCTACCTATTTCAATTGAAGGGACCTGATTATTCATTCATGGTATTGGTAATGATCATCCCTGTGTCTAAATAGTAAGCAATTCCCAATGGACTTTACAGTACTACAAAAGTCACTGTACAATACATTCGTGTTCTTGTCCAGGAAATTCAGCACACATGTACACTCAATATCATCAGTTCAGAACTAGAAGGGCATTAGGTTTGTGTGTTAAAGCATATGCATTACTGCCCTTATGGCTCTAAACAGAACACCTTCCCCCAAACTATCACATTAAACACTAAGGCCGAGGGGCGCCCCTCTAAACAGAGGGAGTTGCTCTCAAACCTTCTACATCATTCAATAAAATTATTGATTCTCAAAAGCAGCAACTTGTTTTCAAACCTCTTGAACCATGCGATAGATTTTCATTTCTTTTATCCCTGCTAGATAATCACACAGTATGTTATCCCTGCTACATGTAGATAATCACAGTATTTTTCTCAGACACTGTGTTGGAGTCAATATACATGTATCATGGACAAAGGGATAAAATAACTGGACAGCAGACAATGCAAAGGCAAAAGAAGCTAACAATGTCTAGACTTTCTCTTTGAATTTCTGCTCTAAGCACTGATAATAGCCAAAAATTACAAGGAACAGGCCACATGAATAGAACTACTTAAGTACTATTACAATGTTGATTTTCTTGTCAACATTGATTAATACTTTACAGGATCTATGACTCTTAAAGGAAACCAAAACCTTTATACTAAGTTACTTTTATTGTAAAGTTTAAAAGATTTGAATAAAATCAGTGAAAATTTGAACAAAATCGGGCAAGGAATAAGAAAGTTAGAGCATTTTAAAATGACTAGTCACTAGAGGACGGTATTCAATTTGATGACATCATCTGTGAACAACTCTCTATGCCTTTTGTACATAAAATTTCACAATTTTTTTGTTTTCTTCGTATTTATTTGTGTTCTTGATCCGACTTCATAACATGTGAAGTAGAATATTATTTTGCATTCTATATCTTGCTTTCAGGGGAGTACATTATCTCAATCACAAGAAAGAAGGAAAAACATGAAATTTGATGTACAAAAGCAGAGCTGCCAACATTTGATTTGGGTAATCAGGGAGATTTCTGAGAGAGCAGCATCGAACGACTTCATGTTGGCGGGAACCAAGAATGGCCTTTTAGTGCCCCTGGTGGGGGGGGGGGGGGGGCAGGGGGCAGGCCCCCCAAAAGCTCTTGGTTTTAAGCCTCTTTGAAACCCTTTTAGAACACATTTTTTCAATGATTTCTCAAAATGGAAGGCTTTGATATGGCACATTTTATTTGCATACAATTGATAACATATGAACTTCACATCATATTTCAGACTATGAACTCCTGTTACCTCTATTGTGAAATGGGGGATGTACTTGTGGAAGGCAAGGACTGGGGTGTGCTTGAGGGTTTTCCTTGAAGTGACTGGTAGGTTGCTTGCTTGAGTTTGCTAAGGAGGTCCTTGCTATACTCCCTTTGGTAGCATGGGACATCTGTGTTGGCAATTTTCTCTGTTAGGAGTGCTTGAAGTGTTTTCAAATTCATTGATCCCCTGAA